GGAATTGAATTTCAAAATAATAGTACATTCTACCGACAAACTTCGTAAGGACCTTTAAAAATTTGCCGCAAAAAAATCAGCAAACCAGTTGAAGATTCTTTTTCTTTTTTCTATATTGAAGTGTAAATTTTTTTATTGGTTTGAATTCTGAATGAATAATATTAAAAATGAAATAAGGACGCAATACGATATTAAATGCTTTCTACTCCAGGACCTACATCGTGCTTCAGCTGGAAGATGCGAACACATTTAAACAAACAAAAATGACCGAAGGAGCGTTATGGGGTTAATTTCAAAAAGTGGACCTGCTTCTTTCATATGGCAATAAATTGTCAAATGAGAACACAAAATGCAAAATACATTGGGACTGCAATCAGTCAAATACCGATAATAAAGAACGCAAAATAGAAATTCTACCTAAACATTCATGATACCTTTAATCGCTTTGGCAGGTCATGATATGGGTCATAACCCCTGATAACGGAACAACCCGATTTCAAGTATATTCTACATTTTAACCATATTTTTCTTACTAATTTTAGCTTATGTTGATAATTTAAGAAGAAACCATCTTTGCAAAAAATTATCACGTTTTGGTATCACCATCATATGATTTAAGGTATTTTCGGGGTCTTAGACACTTTTTTCATTTTTGGTCCTTATTTGACATCTTTGTTTCTAAGGGGGAAGATAACTTCTTCTTATAAAATTTTTATTTTTCGGAAAAGTGCGCATCTTAGTCTTGAGGCTACCTCTGGTAGAAAATCATCTTACAGATAATTACCCTAATAGGCATTTATACGCACTACGGGATTTTAAACGTTGGAAATACAAATTTCAAATTATAGCTCATTTGAATGCTTTTTACAATATCAAAAATTGTGCTGAATTTTCACATGGGGCTATTATAGATGTTCTTTATCATATAGGTATTCAACACTCAAATTATGGCCTATAGCTGAAAAATTAGATCAGGCTATTCAAAATATCTAAAACCGACGGTAATTATAATTTTTGGCATGAATATTAATTTATATTTAGTCATGGAGTCATTACTCATAATCAAGTCATTATTTATAATCAAAATTGCGCCGCCTACATAAGTCAGGTCTGTGATTTATTATGCTTTAAAGACTAAAAGTACGGGCCGGCAAAGCGGACCGGGCCAGCTAGTATCTATATAAAAGAAAGTTGTGTTAGTTACTACGCTTATAACTTAAGAACTGCTGGACTGATTTTAAGGATTCATACAAATTCGCAATTGTCTCCTGTCCGAAAAGGATAATATCCAAAAAAAAAAATCGCGTAAAAATGTGATATATTAACATTTTCATTTTGACTTTTGAAATGTACAATAGTAATGTTTTGCATGATTTTTTTCCATTTTGACTTACTTTTTTCTAATGTACATTTGTAGAGTTTTTTATATTTTATTTTTGAATTCTAATACTAATACCAATTTATTTAATTGACTTAATTTCTTGAGAACTGAAATTGATGGCGGTTACATGGGAGTGTAGTACCGAATTATGTGGTGGCGAAACGGAATAGATAATATCGAAATAATTTAACGCAGTCACACCAAAGTTAAAAGATAATTACTTTTTCAAAATCGCTAAAAATCACAAAAAGAGATCTCATTGCAAAAATTCTTAAATCGGGAAAAAATTTTCAATGGAATTGAATTTTAAAATAATAGTACATTCTATTGTCAATTTTTTTCAATTTGTATTATCATATTGAATCCACTGATTTTTTGTGAACAAAATAAAGAATAATTTTTCACTACATACAATTTTTCACCAAAAAAAAAAAATAAATAAATAAATAAATTAGTGCGAATTAGGATGTTAACTGACATCTACCCTTCAACTCTAGGGCCTACATTGTGGTTCAGCTCGAAGATGCGAACACATTTAAACAAACAAAAATCACCGAAAAAGCCTAATGCTCATTTCAAAGCGTGGACCTACTTCTTTCATGTGACAATGATCCGTCAAATGAGAGCTCAATGAAAATCTTACACAGAAATTTTTGAATTTTCTCTATGTAATAGTACCCCCTCAAGTCCACCTCTTAGCGGACAAACAGACGACATGATTAGGGTGCTAATGGGTTTAAAAAAGGATTAACTTTTGCTATTCCTAAATCATTCAGCCCTCAATTATGAGGTGTACAAAATACAGTAAATTCCATATTACTGCTCATTTGACTGGAAAATTTTGCTACGAATTTTACCATACTAAAAATTTAATTTGATCCCTTACATGGGGATATGATTGATATATACTTTTTAATAGATTTGTATAGTACATGCACACATTTGAAAACCACGGTTTAAATATTGAAGCCCACGGCTTAAATATGGGTACAGGTATTTTAAAACACTTTTAATCGACCAGTACGTGAACTCTTATATCAGTCATATCTGTGAATAATTATGCTTTGACAAATATGCATAATAGACAAAAACTACGGGCCGGCAACGCGGATCGGCCCAGCTAGTTTATATATAAAAGAAGGTTGTGTTAGTTACTACGCTTATAACTCAAGAACCGCTGGTCTGATTTTAACGATTCAGATAAATTCGGAATTGTCTCTTGGCAGAAAAGGATAAGATTTAAAAAATCTCGAAAAAATGTTAAATTTGAACATTTTTATTTTGACTTTTGAAATTGTAAATTGTAGTGTTTTATTTTACATGATATTTTTTCATTTTGAAGTGGTATTTTCATATGTACATTTTTTTTGTGAATTCTAATACAACGGACAAAACTGTTATTTATAGCTTTTATGTATTTATTGGGTAAATGTTACTATACGAATATTATTTCAGAAGAGGATAAACTATAAAAAAAATATATATTTTATCGTGTACGAACGGTTTTTTTCAATTTGATTAACTTTATGTAATCGACTCGATTTTTGAGAAATAAAATCGCAAGCGGGTTACATTGAAGTGTAGTACCGAATTATGTGGTGGCGAAACTGAATAGATGATGTCGAAATAATTAAACGCGGTCACACTAATCTTAAAGAATAATTACTTTTTCAAAACGCTAAAAAATCAAAAATCAAAGTTATACATTCTTTATTGTTTTGAAATTGTTTTGAATAATATCAAAAATGAAAAGAGTGCGAAATACGATGTAAATGGCGATCTTTCATGTCTAAAATTGACATCTAACTTTCCACTCCAGGGCCTACCATCGTGCTTCAGCTGGAAGATGCGAAGACATTTTAACAAACAAAAATGACCGACAAAGCGTTATGGGGCTCATTTCAAAACAAGTACCTACTTCTTTCGTATGACAATAATCCGTCCAATGAGAACTCAAAATGCAAAATTCATTAAGACTGCAATCAGTGAAATACCGAATATAAAGAGTGCAAAATAGTAGAACGAATTGGCATCTTTGTTTCTAAGGTGGTAGAAAATCTTTTCGCATACAATTTTCAATTTTCGGAGTAGGGTCCATCTTGGTCTTGACCACATTCATCAATTGATATGACTTAAAAATTGTATTTAGGTTATACTGGGGTGGGTGGCCATTACCTTTTATAAAAATTTTGACTTAAAGTCAGATCTGAGAATTATTGTGATTCAAAAAATATGCATTAAAGACTGAAAATACGAACCGGCATCGCGGACGGGACAGCTAGTATACATTATAACAACCAATGCAGTTACATCAAGAACTGTATTGAACTGCATAAGGCGAACATATGGGCACAGGTTATACAGCCACTAAAGGTAACGATCAGCAAACTCACTGCCGAAATATGTCAGAAGAATAAGGGACATAAATCTAGAATGAGCTATACTTTTAGATGTAGGTATTCTAGTCGTAGAACTGAAGGTTTGTAAAAAATGCCCACACTTAAAGTAAACTTAAAGTACTTATTGCAGTATAATTAGTTTAAAAATTAAATTGAACCAAATGCTAGTTTTTAATCTATCTTGTTTAGATTAAATGTTTATCAAAAATCGTGGGGTGCGATAATATGAAATACATATCCAATGTTGACAATTGTTATACCCTCAACCATATGGCTATAGAGGGTATATAATTTGATACGTCCAAAACTTGCGGTATCGGTTTTAGACCCCAGGTCTCTTTGGACCGAATTAGTTTCTGGGCATTTGGGGTCGATCTGGCTGGGGTGGTGCGCACGATAACTCTTGAAAGGAGTATTCGATTTGGTCCAAACTTTGTACATCGAATTTTATTGTCAAACTTATATCGAGTTTGGAGATACCACCAACTTCACAGTTTGAGCCTTTTGGCCAGCCGCAGTTTTCAGCATAATGCAGAGAACGACTTCTTACTTGGGTTAGCACAAAGTACCATGGGCAAAGTGATAAAAAAACAAGAAGTTGTGTCCCATAATGACACGCGCAAAAATCACTACATACTTTGTTTTCGATAGCATACTACCTATCGTGTACAACTTCGAGTAGAAACAATTCGATAACGACTGCGGCATATGTCGGAACACTCCTTCTGGTACCTCCTCCACAACGGTTTAAATTTCGCACATCCCAATATTTTCGTAACACAAGATTTGGTGTGAAAATGAAATATATCTCCTACTCCTACTGGTACCCTTCCACAACGGTTTTAAATTTTGAATAATTTTATCTCTCATAAAATGTGAAATAAGCAATCCAATACAATATATTGGACAACAACTTTTGGTACGTCCACCACAAAGGGGTCAAAATTTTGAGTAATTAGTCGTTAATCGCGGTTATACTAACCAGGCCTCTGACGCCACTTACTAAGGTAATTTTGTTGTTTAATAGAAAAAACAAATACACAAATAAAGATAAAACTTCTTAGAATTTAACTTAAGCAAGATCTGTTGTAAAGATAATATATATCGGACCACCCTATCTGTATTTATGCATATTAATCATTCTTAATTTATATTACAATTACTCTCAATGAAGAAAAATTGAATTGAATATATTCTGATTTGTATTCTTTTCATTCTAGGGCTTGATCAATTTATACAACAATTGAGGGATACATGCACACATAAAGTGAAGGCGAATTCCGTGAAACAGGAATATGAAAAGCAAGATGAACTTAAGCGTTCTGCACTACGTGCAGTGTGGGCACTGTCCAAAATACCAAAAGCAGGTATTTTAAATAAAATTAATTACTATTGATTCAGAGGATCAATTTTAATTCATTCTTATCTCCTCCAATTCTTTTTAGAAAAAAACCAGCAACTAACTGATTTTCTTAAATCAATCAACGATTCCCCAGAACTCAGTAAAATATATGAATACGTTCAGAAGGACTCTCTTTCAAATAATTTGGATTTTACGATGGATGAAAGCTAAATTAAAGTTGTGTATTACTTTTTTAGTAATGTAAAGTTATTTTTGGGTTTAAATAAATTAATAATTCAAAATAAATAATTAACCCATTTACTGTAAAATAATTTAATAGAAAAGTTTAATGAATATAAACATAGCAGCCAGAGGAACCAGTACCCATTTTATGCGAATAGTTCTAATAAAACATTTTTTATTCACACATTGTTTAATTTTTTTATTTTTCTTCTCGTTTGTAACACCTGTTCTCACCTCAATATGCCTGACGGATTCTGGTAAGCAATTTAATACGCTAACTGGCGCCAAACAAGGGAGAACAATTAATAAGACTCTGAATGAATAAAATGAAAAATAAAATTTAAAATGTTTGTAAAACATCAGCAGAACATCTATATAGCCTGGGAAGGAAGCGATCAAATCAGCCACTAAGTCAACCAGCCAGCTATTTGTGAAGTCTATCAATCGAACTTCCAGCACATGTAGTTACACAGCTAAACTATAATATATTTAGAGTAGTTGTAAGTAGAGTTATAAGTAATATTGTAATCAATTGCCTACTCTTAGTATCTGCTATTATTTTGTAAATGTGACTGAAGAATAAAATATTTTTTTTTAGGAAATTGATGATTATTCTTTTAAAAGAGACATTTTATTAAATTATGGTATTCAAAACATTTCAGTGGTCGTGAAATTTTACAATCTAAATGTCAGAGGAATATGTAGAATTGTCGATGGGAGAGCAAATAAGAACACTTGTAGATTCGGCTATCCAAGCAGCTTCAGCTGTCAATCAATTGAAACCAACCCTATTGCCTTACAAGACATTGATGACTTAAGAAAAAACAGTGTGAGTGTTTATATCAGATACAAAGACTGTTTTCAAATCTGTCCTCTACATAAGCTTTTGCCCAAGAAGTAGAATCTGATAGGGAGTTGTATTTTTCCCCGTCTTATTTCATCGGATCTCGCGAAGGTAAATTAACCACAAACGAAGAAAACCCCTAATTTCACTAGAAGTCGTAGGTTTTAACAGAAAATCACGTTCACACAGACCAGTTCAACCCATGGGCTTGGATTATTTAATCCGTTTTAGACAATCGTAAACATTTTGGAATCAGTAAAGTGATGTTCCGTCTCCAAATGGTCAAACATCGGAGAGATCAAATAGTAAGAACAAGATTTAAAACCCTTCTGGTTAATGAAGGAAATTAATTTGACGTCGACGCGCTATAGTAGACTTTAGTAATAAAGAAATAAAAACTAAATCAAGAATCGAAACACTGACATTCACAAAATGTACAGATATTAATTTCACAAAAATCGATGACGTCACAGTTAGAGAATAAGCTTACCCCTTTATTTGTGGAAATAGTTCTATCAGATTTGGAAACTGTTCTTATTAGAGGGAGGGTTGCCCAAAAGAATATTTTAAGACGAAACGAACAACTTTACTTTTTTATTTCGGCTGTTGTCTAAGTTCCCTTTTAACAACTGTAGGAGTTACCACAGATATGCAAAGCACATTCATACGATAGAAACAACTCAAAAAATTATTACTGGAAGACCTGGCCTGACCTGGGAATAACAATTTAAACAACAGGACATCACGAATGCTATAAACAGACAGATACCAAAAAACACAAAGAATCAGAAATAGGTTAATTAACGAACGAAAACGGCACGGTTAACTTATATGATCACTTACTTGCCGGAAATAGAATAATAATGAATGACACGGAGATATTAATATTGTTATTTACATTGCAAAGTAGGAGCAAAGTGTATTTACTAAGGTATAATTGATAATCATATGGTTTTTAACTTTTTTTATTTTTGTCTGTGAAGTAAATTGTCAATTTCAATTTTAAAATTTAAATTTCATAATTTGTTTGAAGCAGTTTATTATCCAAATGTATTAACATGCAAAAAGGTAAAACATCGTGTCCTTTAGGAATCAATTTTAGTGGAATTTATGATAAATTTCATTTTGATTTTTTTTCTATTGTGCTTAAACTGCGGCAAGGCATACCACAATAGTGTGACCCAACTGTGTAGTCTCTTCAAAACACGCGAAAATACTTCGTCAATTTAAGGCCCTCTTCACGGCCTTGTTCTTTTTGGGATGTTTTGATATCTCGCAGGATAAGCACAGGTATAAGCACAACAAAAAAACATCGGCCAAGCTATCAACAAAAATCAGATACTTTTTAAAGAAAAGTTTTGTTATTATCTTCATATTTTCAGTTTCTATAAACATAATGTTGTTATTGTAAAATGTTAGTTGTAGTTCATGCATACACCTTGAATAGGAGTAATGAACCCTATACAGTAGCTGCAAGCGAAACTCGTGCACTTAGCAGACAATATGGTTCTAGAACTAGAACTAGTCTTAGAACAAAAGTTTACTGTTTTTATTTATGTAACAAAATAATGGCATTTATATACATTTATACGGCAATCCTGTTTCGAACTGCGTCAAACTTCGCGGGATTGTTGAAAAATATATTTGGGGAAGTCCTTAAAAGCTAATTAATTACAAATATCCACGTGTTGTGTAGTTTACTGACGTAAATATTAAACAAACCACTGCTGAAGTGAGAAATTTAGTAATTAAACATTACAAAAACCATCAATCGCTAAATGTGATATCTGAGATTGTTAATAGAAGCCGATATAAAGTTCAGTACATCATAAAACGGTACAAAACAGATGGATGTAGAAAATAAGTCAAAAAATGGCATATAATAAAATATTTACCATGAGTGATGAGAAGTATATTTTACGGCAGATCAAAGAGGATCCATTTTTTAATGCACCGAAGCTCGCAAAAATTGCAAAAATTGCTGAGAATTATTGTGATTCAAAAAATATGCATTAAAGACTAAAAATACGAACCGGCATCGCGGACGGGACAGCTAGTATACATTATAACAACCAATGCTGTTACATCAAGAACTGTATTGAACTGCATAAGGCGAACATATGGGCCCAGGTTATACAGGCACTAAATGTAACGATCAGCAAACTCACTGCCGAAATATGTCAGAAGAATAAGGGACATAAATCTAGAATGAGCTATACTTTTAGATGTAGGTATTCTAGTCGTAGAACTGAAGGTTTGTAAAAAATGCCCACACTTAAAGTAAACTTAAAGTACTTATTGCAGTATAATTAGTTTAAAAATTAAATTGAACCAAATGCTAGTTTTTAATCTATCTTGTTTAGATTAAATGTTTATCAAAAATCGTGGGGTGCGGTAATATGAAATACATATCCAATGTTGACAATTGTTATACCCTCAACCATATGGCTATAGAGGGTATATAATTTGATACGTCCAAAACTTGCGGTATCGGTTTTAGACTCCAGGTCTCTTTGGACCGAATCCGTCCGTCCGTCTGGCTGGGATGGTGCGCACGATAACTCTTGAAAGGAGTATTCGATTTGGTCCAAACTTTGTACATCGAATTTTATTGTCAAACTTATATCGAGTTTGGAGATACCACCAACTTCACAGTTTGATCCTTTTGGCCAGCCGCAGTTTTCAGCATAATGCAGAGAACGACTTCTTACTTGGGTTAGCACAAAGTACCATGGGCAAAGTGATAAAAAAAACAAGAAGTTGTGTCCCATAATGACACGCGCAAAAATCACTACATACTTTGTTTTCGATAGCATACTACCTATCGTGTACAACTTCGAGTAGAAACAATTCGATAACGACTGCGGCATATGTCGGAACACTCCTTCTGGTACCTCCTCCACAACGGTTTAAATTTCGCACATCCCAATATTTTCGTAACACAAGATCTGGTGTGAAAATGGAATACAACGGTTTTAAATTTTGAATAATTTTATCTCTCATAAAATGTGAAATAAGCAATCCAATACAATATATTGACAACAACTTTTGGTACGTCCACCACAAAGGGGTCAAAATTTTGAGTAATTAGTCGTTAATCGCGGTTATACTAACCAGGCCTCTGACGCCACTTACTAAGGTAATTTTGTTGTTTAATAGAAAAAACAAATACACAAATAAAGATAAAACTTCTTAGAATTTAACTTAAGCAAGATCTGTTGTAAAGATAATATATATCGGACCACCCTCTCTGTATTTATGCTTATTAATTATTCTTAATTTATATTACAATTACTCTCAATGAAGAAAAATTGAATTGAATATATTCTGATTTGTATTCTTCTCATTCTAGGGCTTGATCAATTTATACAACAATTGAGGGATACATGCACACATAAAGTGAAGCAGCCAGAGGAACCAGTACCCATTTTATGCGAATAATTCTAATAAAACATTTTTTATTCACACATTGTTTAATTTTTTTATTTTTCTTCTCGTTTGTAACACCTGTTCTCACCTCAATATGCCTGACGGATTCTGGTAAGCAATTTAATACGCTAACTGGCGCCAAACAAGGGAGAACAATTAATAAGACTCTGAATGAATAAAATGAAAAATAAAATTTAAAATGTTTGTAAAACATCAGCAGAACATCTATATAGCCTGGGAAGGAAGCGATCAAATCAGCCACTAAGTCAACCAGCCAGCTATTTGTGAAGTCTACCAATCGAACTTCCAGCACATGTAGTTACACAGCTAAACTATAATATATTTAGAGTAGTTGTAAGTAGAGTTATAAGTAATATTGTAATCAATTGCCTACTCTTAGTATCTGCTATTATTTTGTAAATGTGACTGAAGAATAAAATTTTTTTTTTTAGGAAATTGATGATTATTCTTTTAAAAGAGACATTTTATTAAATTATGGTATTCAAAACATTTCAGTGGTCGTGAAATTTTACAATCTAAATGTCAGAGGAATATGTAGAATTGTCGATGGGAGAGCAAATAAGAACACTTGTAGATTCGGCTATCCAAGCAGCTTCAGCTGTCAATCAATTGAAACCAACCCTATTGCCTTACAAGACATTGATGACTTAAGAAAAAACAGTGTGAGTGTTTATATCAGATACAAAGACTGTTTTCAAATCTGTCCTCTACATAAGCTTTTGCCCAAGAAGTAGAATCTGATAGGGAGATGTATTTTTCCCCGTCTTATTTCATCGGATCTCGCGAAGGTAAATTAACCACAAACGAAGAAAACCCCTAATTTCACTAGAAGTCGTAGGTTTTAACAGAAAATCACGCTCACACAGACCAGTTCAACCCATGGGCTTGGATTATTTAATCCGTTTTAGACAATCGTAAACATTTTGGAATCAGTACGGTGATGTTCCGTCTCCAAATGGTCAAACATCGGAGAGATCAAATAGTAAGAACAAGATTTAAAACCCTTCTGGTTAATGAAGGAAATTAATTTGACGTCGACGCGCTATAGTAGACTTTAGTAATAAAGAAATAAAAACTAAATCAAGAATCGAAACACTGACATTCACAAAATGTACAGATATTAATTTCACAAAAATCGATGACGTCACAGTTAGAGAATAAGCTTACCCCTTTATTTGCGGAAATAGTTCTATCAGATTTGGAAACTGTTCTTATTAGAGGGAGGGTTGCCCAAAAGAATATTTTAAGACGAAACGAACAACTTTACTTTTTTATTTCGGCTGTTGTCTAAGTTCCCTTTTAACAACTGTAGGAGTTACCACAGATATGCAAAGCACATTCATACGATAGAAACAACTCAAAAAATTATTACTGGAAGACCTGGCCTGACCTGGGAATAACAATTTAAACAACAGGACATTACGAATGCTATAAACAGACAGATACCAAAAAACACAAAGAATCAGAAATAGGTTAATTAACGAACGAAAACGGCACGGTTAACTTATATGATCACTTACTTGCCGGAAATAGAATAATAATGAATGACACGGAGATATTAATATTGTTATTCACATTGCAAAGTAGGAGCAAAGTGTATTTACTAAGGTATAATTGATAATCATATGGTTTTTAACTTTTTTTATTTTTGTCTGTAAAGTAAATTGTCAATTTCAATTTTAAAATTTAAATTTCATAATTTGTTTGAAGCAGTTTATTATCCAAATGTATTAACATGCAAAAAGGTAAAACATCGTGTCCTTTAGGAATCAATTTTAGTGGAATTTATGATAAATTTCATTTTGAATTTTTTTCTATTGTGCTTAAACTGCGGCAAAGCATACCACAATAGTGTGACCCAACTGTGTAGTCTCTTCAAAACACGCGAAAATACTTCGTCAATTTAAGGCCCTCTTCACGGCCTTGTTCTTTTTGGGATGTTTTGATATCTCGCAGGATAAGCACAGGTATAAGCACAACAAAAAAACATCGGCCAAGCTATCAACAAAAATCAGATACTTTTTAAAGAAAAGTTTTGTTATTATCTTCATATTTTCAGTTTCTATAAACATAATGTTGTTATTGTAAAATGTTAGTTGTAGTTCATGCATACACCTTGAATAGGAGTAATGAACCCTATACAGTAGCTGCAAGCGAAACTCGTGCACTTAGCAGACAATATGGTTCTAGAACTAGAACTAGTCTTAGAACAAAAGTTTACTGTTTTTATTTATGTAACAAAATAATGGCATTTATATACATTTATACGGCAATCCTGTTTCGAACTGCGTCAAACTTCGCGGGATTGTTGAAAAATATATTTGGGGAAGTCCTTAAAAGCTAATTAATTACAAATATCCACGTGTTGTGTAGTTTACTGACGTAAATATCAAACAAACCACTGCTGAAGTGAGAAATTTAGTAATTAAACATTACAAAAACCATCAATCGCTAAATGAGATATCTGAGATTGTTAATAGAAGCCGATATAAAGTTCAGTACATCATAAAACGGTACAAAACAGATGGATGTAGAAAATAAGTCAAAAAATGGCATATAATAAAATATTTACCATGAGTGATGAGAAGTATATTTTACGGCAGATCAAAGAGGATCCATTTTTTAATGCACCGAAGCTCGCAAAAATTGCAAAAATTGCTGAGAATTATTGTGATTCAAAAAATATGCATTAAAGACTAAAAATACGAACCGGCATCGCGGACGGGACAGCTAGTATACATTATAACAACCAATGCTGTTACATCAAGAATTGTATTGAACTGCATAAGGCGAACATATGGGCCCAGGTTATACAGGCACTAAATGTAACGATCAGCAAACCCACTGCCGAAATATGTCAGAAGAATAAGGGACATAAATCTAGAATGAGCTATACTTTTAGATGTAGGTATTCTAGTCGTAGAACTGAAGGTTTGTAAAAAATGCCCACACTTAAAGTAAACTTAAAGTACTTATTGCAGTATAATTAGTTTAAAAATTAAATTGAACCAAATGCTAGTTTTTAATCTATCTTGTTTAGATTAAATGTTTATCAAAAATCGTGGGGTGCGGTAATATGAAATACATATCCAATGTTGACAATTGTTATACCCTCAACCATATGGCTATAGAGGGTATATAATTTGATACGTCCAAAACTTGCGGTATCGGTTTTAGACCCCAGGTCTCTTTGGACCGAATCCGTCCGTACGTCTGGCTGGGATGGTGCGCACGATAACTCTTGAAAGGAGTATTCGATTTGGTCCAAACTTTGTACATCGAATTTTATTGTCAAACTTATATCGAGTTTGGAGATACCACCAACTTCACAGTTTGATCCTTTTGGCCAGCCGCAGTTTTCAGCATAATGCAGAGAACGACTTCTTACTTGGGTTAGCACAAAGTACCATGGGCAAAGTGATAAAAAGACAAGAAGTTGTGTCCCATAATGACACGCGCAAAAATCACTACATACTTTGTTTTCGATAGCATGCTACCTATCGTGTACAACTTCGAGTAGAAACAATTCGATAACGACTGCGGCATATGTCGGAACACTCCTTCTGGTACCTCCTCCACAACGGTTTAAATTTCGCACATCCCAATATTTTCGTAACACAAGATCTGGTGTGAAAATGGAATACAACGGTTTTAAATTTTGAATAATTTTATCTCTCATAAAATGTGAAATAAGCAATCCAATACAATATATTGACAACAACTTTTGGTACGTCCACCACAAAGGGGTCAAAATTTTGAGTAACTAGTCGTTAATCGCGGTTATACTAACCAGGCCTCTGACGCCACATACTAAGGTAATTTTGTTGTTTAATAGAAAAAACAAATACACAAATAAAGATAAAACTTCTTAGAATTTAACTTAAGCAAGATCTGTTGTAAAGATAATATATATCGGACCACCCTCTCTGTATTTATGCATATTAATTATTCTTAATTTATATTACAATTACTCTCAATGAAGAAAAATTGAATTGAATATATTCTGATTTGTATTCTTCTCATTCTAGGGCTTGATCAATTTATACAACAATTGAGGGATACATGCACACATAAAGTGAAGGCGAATTCCGTGAAACAGGAATATGAAAAACAAGATGAACTTAAGCGTTCTGCACTACGTGCAGTGTGGGCACTGTCCAAAATACCAAAAGCAGGTATTTTAAATAAAATTAATTACTATTGATTCAGAGGATCAATTTTAATTCATTCTTATCTCCTCCAATTCTTTTTAGAAAAAAACCAGCAACTAACTGATTTTCTTAAATCAATCAACGATTCCCCAGAACTCAGTAAAATATATGAATACGTTCAGAAGGACTCTCTTTCAAATAATTTGGATTTTACGATGGATGAAAGCTAAATTAAAGTTGTGTATTACTTTTTTAGTAATGTAAAGTTATTTTTGGGTTTAAATAAATTAATAATTCAAAATAAATAATTAACCCATTTACTGTATAATAATTTAATAGAAAAGTTTAATGAATATAAACATAACAGCCAGAGGAACCAGTACCCATTTTATGCGAATAATTCTAATAAAACATTTTTTATTCACACATTGTTTAATTTTTTTATTTTTCTTCTCGTTTGTAACACCTGTTCTCACCTCAATATGCCTGACGGATTCTGGTAAGCAATTTAATACGCTAACTGGCGCCAAACAAGGGAGAACAATTAATAAGACTCTGAATGAATAAAATGAAAAATAACATTTAAAATGTTTGTAAAACATCAGCAGAACATCTATATAGCCTGGGAAGGAAGCGATCAAATCAGCCACTAAGTCAACCAGCCAGCTATTTGTGAAGTCTACCAATCGAACTTCCAGCACATGTAGTTACACAGCTAAACTATAATATATTTAGAGTAGTTGTAAGTAGAGTTATAAGTAATATTGTAATCAATTGCCTACTCTTAGTATCTGCAATTATTTTGTAAATGTGACTGAAGAATAAAATATTTTTTTTTTTTAGGAAATTGATGATTATTCTTTTAAAAGAGACATTTTATTAAATTATGGTATTCAAAACATTTCAGTGGTCGTGAAATTTTACAATCTAAATGTCAGAGGAATATGTAGAATTGTCGATGGGAGAGCAAATAAGAACACTTGTAGATTCGGCTATCCAAGCAGCTTCAGCTGTCAATCAATTGAAACCAACCCTATTGCCTTACAAGACATTGATGACTTAAGAAAAAACAGTGTGAGTGTTTATATCAGATACAAAGACTGTTTTCAAATCTGTCCTCTACATAAGCTTTTGCCCAAGAAGTAGAATCTGATAGGGAGATGTATTTTTCCCCGTCTTATTTCATCGGATCTCGCGAAGGTAAATTAACCACAAACGAAGAAAACCCCTAATTTCACTAGAAGTCGTAGGTTTTAACAGAAAATCACGCTCACACAGACCAGTTCAACCCATGGGCTTGGATTATTTAATCCGTTTTAGACAATCGTAAACATTTTGGAATCAGTACGGTGATGTTCCGTCTCCAAATGGTCAAACATCGGAGAGATCAAATAGTAAGAACAAGATTTAAAACCCTTCTGGTTAATGAAGGAAATTAATTTGATGTCGACGCGCTATAGTAGACTTTAGTAATAAAGAAATAAAAACTAAATCAAGAATCGAAACACTGACATTCACAAAATGTACAGATATTAATTTCACAAAAATCGATGACGTCACAGTTAGAGAATAAGCTTACCCCTTTATTTGTGGAAATAGTTCTATCAGATTTGGAAACTGTTCTTATTAGAGGGAGGGTTGCCCAAAAGAATATTTTAAGACGAAACGAACAACTTTACTTTTTTATTTCGGCTGTTGTCTAAGTTCCCTTTTAACAACTGTAGGAGTTACCACAGATATGCAAAGCACATTCATACGATAGAAACAACTCAAAAAATTATTACTGGAAGACCTGGCCTGACCTGGGAATAACAATTTAAACAACAGGACATCACGAATGCTATAAACAGACAGATACCAAAAAACACAAAGAATCAGAAATAGGTTAATTAACGAACGAAAACGGCACGGTTAACTTATATGATCACTTACTTGCCGGAAATAGAATAATAATGAATGACACGGAGATATTAATATTGTTATTCACATTGCAAAGTAGGAGCAAAGTGTATTTACTAAGGTATAATTGATAATCATATGGTTTTTAACTTTTTTTATTTTTGTCTGTAAAGTAAATTGTCAATTTCAATTTTAAAATTTAAATTTCATAATTTGTTTGAAGCAGTTTATTATCCAAATGTATTAACATGCAAAAAGGTAAAACATCGTGTCCTTTAGGAATCAATTTTAGTGGAATTTATGATAAATTTCATTTTGAATTTTTTTCTATTGACTCGTGTACTTAACACAAGAATGGGACATTAAGAGTCTGTCTTATTTAGCTTCAGTACTTTCATGGCAATAGCCATTGTGGGCTACCTAAGTGGTGGACACATAAATCGGGTTGTTACGATTGATATGGCTTTGGTTGATCACATAAGTCCAATCCTTATAGTTATGTATATTGTGGTTCAATGTATCGATTCGGCAGCTGGTGCGTGTGTGCTTAAACTGCGGCAAGGCATACCACAATAGTGTGACCCAACTGTGTAGTCTCTTCAAAACACGCGAAAATACTTCGTCAATTTAAGGCCCTCTTCACGGCCTTGTTCTTTTTGGGATGTTTTGATATCTCGCAGGATAAGCACAGGTATAAGCACAACAAAAAACATCGGCCAAGCTATCAACAAAAATCAGATACTTTTTAAAGAAAAGTTTTGTTATTATCTTCATATTTTCAGTTTCTATAAACATAATGTTGTTATTGTAAAATGTTAGTTGTAGTTCATGCATACACCTTGAATAGGAGTAATGAACCCTATACAGTACCTGCAAGCGAAACTCGTGCACATAGCAGACAATATGGTTCTAGAACTAGAACTAGTCTTAGAACAAAAGTTTACTCTTTTTATTTATGTAACAAAATAATGGCATTTATATACATTTATACGGCAATCCTGTTTCGAACTGCGTCAAACTTCGCGGGATTGTTGAAAAATATATTTGGGGAAGTCCTTAAAAGCTAATTAATTACAAATATCCACGTGTTGTGTAGTTTACTGACGTAAATATTAAACAAACCACTGCTGAAGTGAGAAATTTAGTAATTAAACATTACAAAAACCATCAATCGCTAAATGAGATATCTGAGATTGTTAATAGAAGCCGATCTAAAGTTCAGTACATCATAAAACGGTACAAAACAGATGGATGTAGAAAATAAGTCAAAAAATGGCATATAATAAAATATTTACCATGAGTGATGAGAAGTATATTTTACGGCAGATCAAAGAGGATCCATTTTTCAATGCACCGAAGCTCGCAAAAATTGCAAAAATTGCTGAGAATTATTGTGATTCAAAAAATATGCATTAAAGACTAAAAATACGAACCGGCATCGCGGACGGGACAGCTAGTATACATTATAACAACCAATGCTGTTACATCAAGAACTGCATAAGGCGAACATATGGGCCCAGGTTATACAGGCACTAAATGTAACGATCAGCAAACTCACTGCCGAAATATGTCAGAAGAATAAGGGACATAAATCTAGAATGAGCTATACTTTTAGCTGTAGGTATTCTAGTCGTAGAACTGAAGGTTTGTAAAAAATGCCCACACTTAAAGTAAACTTAAAGTACTTATTGCAGTATAATTAGTTTAAAAATTAAATTGAACCAAATGCTAGTTTTTAATCTATCTTGTTTAGATTAAATGTTTATCAAAAATCGTGGGGTGCGGTAATATGAAATACATATCCAATGTTGACAATTGTTATACCCTCAACCATATGGTTATAGAGGGTATATAATTTGATACGTCCAAAACTTGCGGTATCGGTTTTAGACCCCAGGTCTCTTTGGACCGAATCCGTCCGTCCGTCTGGCTGGGATGGTGCGCTCGATAACTCTTGAAAGGAGTATTCGATTTGGTCCAAACTTTGTACATCGAATTTTATTGTCAAACTTATATCGAGTTTGGAGATACCACCAACTTCACAGTTTGATCCTTTTGGCCAGCCGCAGTTTTCAGCATAATGCAGAGAACGACTTCTTACTTGGGTTAGCACAAAGTACCATGGGCAAAGTGATAAAAAAACAAGAAGTTGTGTCCCATAATGACACGCGCAAAAATCACTACATACTTTGTTTTCGATAGCATGCTACCTATCGTGTACAACTTCGAGTAGAAACAATTCGATAACGACTGCGGCATATGTCGGAACACTCCTTCTGGTACCTCCTCCACAACGGTTTAAATTTCGCACATCCCAATATTTTCGTAACACAAGATCTGGTGTGAAAATGGAATACAACGGTTTTAAATTTTGAATAATTTTATCTCTCATAAAATGTGAAATAAGCAATCCAACACAATATATTGACAACAACTTTTGGTACGTCCACCACAAAGGGGTCAAAATTTTGAGTAACTAGTCGTTAATCGCGGTTATACTAACCAGGCCTCTGACGCCACATACTAAGGTAATTTTGTTGTTTAATAGAAAAAACAAATACACAAATAAAGATAAAACTTCTTAGAATTTAACTTAAGCAAGATCTGTTGTAAAGATAATATATATCGGACCACCCTCTCTGTATTTATGCATATTAATTATTCTTAATTTATATTACAATTACTCTCAATGAAGAAAAATTGAATTGAATATATTCTGATTTGTATTCTTCTCATTCTAGGGCTTGATCAATTTATACAACAATTGAGGGATACATGCACACATAAAGTGAAGGCGAATTCCGTGAAACAGGAATATGAAAAACAAGATGAACTTAAGCGTTCTGCACTACGTGCAGTGTGGGCACTGTCCAAAATACCAAAAGCAGGTATTTTAAATAAAATTAATTACTATTGATTCAGAGGATCAATTTTAATTCATTCTTATCTCCTCCAATTCTTTTTAGAAAAAAACCAGCAACTAACTGATTTTCTTAAATCAATCAACGATTCCCCAGAACTCAGTAAAATATATGAATACGTTCAGAAGGACTCTCTTTCAAATAATTTGGATTTTACGATGGATGAAAGCTAAATTAAAGTTGTGTATTACTTTTTTAGTAATGTAACATTTTTTATTCACACATTGTTTAATTTTTTTATTTTTCTTCTCGTTTGTAACACCTGTTCTCACCTCAATATGCAAGACGGATTCTGGTAAACAATTTAATACGCTAACTGGAACCAAACAAGGGAGAACAATTAATAAGACTCTGAACGAATAAAATGAAAAATAATATTTAAAATGTTTGTAAAACATCAGCAGAACTTCTATATAGCCTGGGAAGGAAGCGATCAAATCAGCCACTAAGTCAACCAGCCAGCTATTTGTGAAGTCTACCAATCGAACTTCCAGCACATGTAGTTACACAGCTAAACTATAATATATTTAGAGTAGCTGTAAGTAGAGTTATAAGTAATATTGTAATCAATTGCCTACTCTTAGTATCTGCTATAGTTTTGTAAATGTGACTGAAGAATAAAATATTTTTTTTTTAGGAAATTGATGATTATTCTTTTAAAAGAGACATTTTATTAAATTATAGTATTCAAAACATTTCAGTGGTCGTGAAATTTTACAATATAAATGTCAGAGGAATATGTAGAATTGTCGATGGGAGAGCAAATAAGAACACTTGTAGATTCGGCTATCCAAGCAGCTTCAGCTGTCAATCAATTGAAACCAACCCTATTGCCTTACAAGACATTGATGACTTAAGAAAAAACAGTGTGAGTGTTTATATCAGATACAAAGACTGTTTTCAAATCTGTCCTCTACATAAGCTTTTGCCCAAGAAGTAGAATCTGATAGGGAGATGTATTTTTCCCCGTCTTATTTCATCGGATCTCGCGAAGGTAAATTAACCACAAACGAAGAAAACCCCTAATTTCACAAGAAATCGTAGGTTTTAACAGAAAATCACGCTCACACAGACCAGTTCAACCCATGGGCTTGGATTATTTAATCCGTTTTAGACAATCGTAAACATTTTGGAATCAGTACGGTGATGTTCCGTCTCCAAATGGTCAAACATCGGAGAGATCAAGTAGTAAGAACAAGATTTAAAACCCTTCTGGTTAATGAAGGAAGTTAATTTGACATCGACGCGCTATAGTAGACTTTAGTAATAAAGAAATAAAAACTAAATCAAGAATCGAAACAGTGACATTCACAAAATGTACAGATATTAATTTCACAAAAATCGATGACGTCGCAGTTAGAGAATAAGCTTACCCTTTATTTGTGGAAATAGTTCTATCAGATTTGGAAACTGTTCTTATTAGAGGGAGGGTTGCCCAAAAGAATATTTTAAGACGAAACGAACAACTTTACTTTTTTATTTCGGCTGTTGTCTAAGTTCCCTTTTAACAACTGTAGGAGTTACCACAGATATGCAAAGCATTCATACGATAGAAACAACTCAAAAAATTATTACTGGAAGACCTGGCCTGACCTGGGAATAACAATTTAAACAACAGGACATTACGAATGCTATAAACAGACAGATACCAAAAAACACAAAGAATCAGAAATAGGTTAATTAACGAACGAAAACGGCACGGTTAACTTATATGATCACTTACTTGCCGGAAATAGAATAATAATGAATGACACGGAGATATTAATATTGTTATTCACATTGCAAAGTAGGAGCAAAGTGTATTTACTAAGGTATAATTGATAATCATATGGTTTTTAACTTTTTTTATTTTTGTCTGTAAAGTAAATTGTCAATTTCAATTTTAAAATTTAAATTTCATAATTTGTTTGAAGCAGTTTATTATCCAAATGTATTAACATGCACAAAGGTAAAACATCGTGTCCTTTAGGAATCAATTTTAGTGGAATTTATGATAAATTTCATTTTGAATTTTTTTCTATTGACTCGTGTACTTAACACAAGAATGGGACATTAGGAGTCTGTCTTATTTAGCTTCAGTACTTTCATGGCAATAGCCATTGTGGGCTACCTAAGTGGTGGACACATAAATCGGGTTGTTACGATTGATATGGCTTTGGTTGATCACATAAGTCCAATCCTTATAGTTATGTATATTGTGGTTCAATGTATCGATTCGGCAGCTGGTGCGTGTGTGCTTAAACTGCGGCAAGGCATACCACAATAGTGTGACCCAACTGTGTAGTCTCTTCAAAACACGCGAAAATACTTCGTCAATTTAAGGCCCTCTTCACGGCCTTGTTCTTTTTGGGATGTTTTGATATCTCGCAGGATAAGCACAGGTATAAGCACAACAAAAAAACATCGGCCAAGCTATCAACAAAAATCAGATACTTTTTAAAGAAAAGTTTTGTTATTATCTTCATATTTTCAGTTTCTATAAACATAATGTTGTTATTGTAAAATGTTAGTTGTAGTTCATGCATACACCATGAATAGGAGTAATGAACCCTATACAGTAGCTGCAAGCGAAACTCGTGCACTTAGCAGACAATATGGTTCTAGAACTAGAACTAGTCTTAGAACAAAAGTTTACTGTTTTTATTTATGTAACAAAATAATGGCATTTATATACATTTATACGGCAATCCTGTTTCGAACTGCGTCAAACTTCACGGGATTGTTGAAAAATATATTTGGGGAAGTCCTTAAAAGCTAATTAATTACAAATATCCACGTGTTGTGTAGTTTACTGACGTAAATATTAAACAAACCACTGCTGAAGTGAGAAATTCAGTAATTAAACATTACAAAAACCATCAATCGCTAAATGAGATATCTGAGATTGTTAATAGAAGCCGATCTAAAGTTCAGTACATCATAAAACGGTACAAAACAGATGGATGTAGAAAATAAGTCAAAAAATGGCATATAATAAAATATTTACCATGAGTGATGAGAAGTATATTTTACGGCAGATCAAAGAGGATCCATTTTTTAATGCACCGAAGCTCGCAAAAATTGCAAAAATTGCTGAGAATAAAAATACGAACCGGCATCGCGGACGGGACAGCTAGTATACATTATAACAACCAATGCTGTTACATCAAGAACTGTATTGAACTGCATAAGGCGAACATATGGGCCCAGGTTATACAGGCACTAAATGTAACGATCAGCAAACTCACTGCCGAAATATGTCAGAAGAATAAGGGACATAAATCTAGAATGAGCTATACTTTTAGATGTAGGTATTCTAGTCGTAGAACTGAAGGTTTGTAAAAAATGCCCACACTTAAAGTAAACTTAAAGTACTTATTGCAGTATAATTAGTTTAAAAATTAAATTGAACCAAATGCTAGTTTTTAATCTATCTTGTTTAGATTAAATGTTTATCAAAAATCGTGGGGTGCGGTAATATGAAATACATATCCAATGTTGACAATTGTTATACCCTCAACCATATGGCTATAGAGGGTATATAATTTGATACGTCCAAAACTTGAGGTATCGGTTTTAGACCCCAGGTCTCTTTGGACCGAATCCGTCCGTCCGTCTGGCTGGGATGGTGCGCACGATAACTCTTGAAAGGAGTATTCGATTTGGTCCAAACTTTGTACATCGAATTTTATTGTCAAACTTATATCGAGTTTGGAGATACCACCAACTTCACAGTTTGATCCTTTTGGCCAGCCGCAGTTTTCAGCATAATGCAGAGAACGACTTCTTACTTGGGTTAGCACAAAGTACCATGGGCAAAGTGATAAAAAAACGTCACTATCGAAATACACAAGAAGTTGTGTCCCATAATGACACGCGCAAAAATCACTACATACTTTGTTTTCGATAGCATACTACCTATCGTGTACAACTTCGAGTAGAAACAATTCGATAACGACTGCGGCATATGTCGGAACACTCCTTCTGGTACCTCCTCCACAACGGTTTAAATTTCGCACATCCCAATATTTTCGTAACACAAGATCTGGTGTGAAAATGGAATACAACGGTTTTAAATTTTGAATAATTTTATCTCTCATAAAATGTGAAATAAGCAATCCAATACAATATATTGACAACAACTTTTGGTACGTCCACCACAAAGGGGTCAAAATTTTGAGTAATTAGTCGTTAATCGCGGTTATACTAACCAGACCTCTGACGCCACTTACTAAGGTAATTTTGTTGTTTAATAGAAAAAACAAATACACAAATAAAGATAAAACTTCTTAGAATTTAACTTAAGCAAGATCTGTTGTAAAGATAATATATATCGGACCACCCTCTCTGTATTTATGCTTATTAATTATTCTTAATTTATATTACAATTACTCTCAATGAAGAAAAATTGAATTGAATATATTCTGATTTGTATTCTTCTCATTCTAGGGCTTGATCAATTTATACAACAATTGAGGGATACATGCACACATAAAGTGAAGCAGCCAGAGGAACCAGTACCCATTTTATGCGAATAATTCTAATAAAACATTTTTTATTCACACATTGTTTAATTTTTTTATTTTTCTTCTCGTTTGTAACACCTGTTCTCACCTCAATATGCCTGACGGATTCTGGTAAGCAATTTAATACGCTAACTGGCGCCAAACAAGGGAGAACAATTAATAAGACTCTGAATGAATAAAATGAAAAATAAAATTTAAAATGTTTGTAAAACATCAGCAGAACATCTATATAGCCTGGGAAGGAAGCGATCAAATCAGCCACTAAGTCAACCAGCCAGCTATTTGTGAAGTCTACCAATCGAACTTCCAGCACATGTAGTTACACAGCTAAACTATAATATATTTAGAGTAGTTGTAAGTAGAGTTATAAGTAATATTGTAATCAATTGCCTACTCTTAGTATCTGCTATTATTTTGTAAATGTGACTGAAGAATAAAATATTTTTTTTTTTAGGAAATTGATGATTATTCTTTTAAAAGAGACATTTTATTAAATTATGGTATTCAAAACATTTCAGTGGTCGTGAAATTTTACAATCTAAATGTCAGAGGAATATGTAGAATTGTCGATGGGAGAGCAAATAAGAACACTTGTAGATTCGGCTATCCAAGCAGCTTCAGCTGTCAATCAATTGAAACCAACCCTATTGCCTTACAAGACATTGATGACTTAAGAAAAAACAGTGTGAGTGTTTATATCAGATACAAAGACTGTTTTCAAATCTGTCCTCTACATAAGCTTTTGCCCAAGAAGTAGAATCTGATAGGGAGATGTATTTTTCCCCGTCTTATTTCATCGGATCTCGCGAAGGTAAATTAACCACAAACGAAGAAAACCCCTAATTTCACTAGAAGTCGTAGGTTTTAACAGAAAATCACGCTCACACAGACCAGTTCAACCCATGGGCTTGGATTATTTAATCCGTTTTAGACAATCGTAAACATTTTGGAATCAGTACGGTGATGTTCCGTCTCCAAATGGTCAAACATCGGAGAGATCAAATAGTAAGAACAAGATTTAAAACCCTTCTGGTTAATGAAGGAAATTAATTTGATGTCGACGCGCTATAGTAGACTTTAGTAATAAAGAAATAAAAACTAAATCAAGAATCGAAACACTGACATTCACAAAATGTACAGATATTAATTTCACAAAAATCGATGACGTCACAGTTAGAGAATAAGCTTACCCCTTTATTTGTGGAAATAGTTCTATCAGATTTGGAAACTGTTCTTATTAGAGGGAGGGTTGCCCAAAAGAATATTTTAAGACGAAACGAACAACTTTACTTTTTTATTTCGGCTGTTGTCTAAGTTCCCTTTTAACAACTGTAGGAGTTACCACAGATATGCAAAGCACATTCATACGATAGAAACAACTCAAAAAATTATTACTGGAAGACCTGGCCTGACCTGGGAATAACAATTTAAACAACAGGACATCACGAATGCTATAAACAGACAGATACCAAAAAACACAAAGAATCAGAAATAGGTTAATTAACGAACGAAAACGGCACGGTTAACTTATATGATCACTTACTTGCCGGAAATAGAATAATAATGAATGACACGGAGATATTAATATTGTTATTCACATTGCAAAGTAGGAGCAAAGTGTATTTACTAAGGTATAATTGATAATCATATGGTTTTTAACTTTTTTTATTTTTGTCTGTAAAGTAAATTGTCAATTTCAATTTTAAAATTTAAATTTCATAATTTGTTTGAAGCAGTTTATTATCCAAATGTATTAACATGCACAAAGGTAAAACATCGTGTCCTTTAGGAATCAATTTTAGTGGAATTTATGATAAATTTCATTTTGAATTTTTTTCTATTGACTCGTGTACTTAACACAAGAATGGGACATTAAGAGTCTGTCTTATTTAGCTTCAGTACTTTCATGGCAATAGCCATTGTGGGCTACCTAAGTGGTGGACACATAAATCGGGTTGTTACGATTGCTATGGCTTTGGTTGATCACATAAGTCCAATCCTTATAGTTATGTATATTGTGGTTCAATGTATCGATTCGGCAGCTGGTGCGTGTGTGCTTAAACTGCGGCAAGGCATACCACAATAGTGTGACCCAACTGTGTAGTCTCTTCAAAACACGCGAAAATACTTCGTCAATTTAAGGCCCTCTTCACGGCCTTGTTCTTTTTGGGATGTTTTGATATCTCGCAGGATAAGCACAACAAAAAAAAAAACATCGGCCAAGCTATCAACAAAAATCAGATACTTTTTAAAGAAAAGTTTTGTTATTATCTTCATATTTTCAGTTTCTATAAACATAATGTTGTTATTGTAAAATGTTAGTTGTAGTTCATGCATACACCTTGAATAGGAGTAATGAACCCTATACAGTACCTGCAAGCGAAACTCGTGCACTTAGCAGACAATATGGTTCTAGAACTAGAACTAGTCTTAGAACAAAAGTTTACTGTTTTTATTTATGTAACAAAATAATGGCATTTATATACATTTATACGGCAATCCTGTTTCGAAATGCGTCAAACTTCGCGGGATTGTTGAAAAATATATTTGGGGTCCTTAAAAGCTAATTAATTACAAATATCCACGTGTTGTGTAGTTTACTGACGTAAATATTAAACAAACCACTGCTGAAGTGAGAAATTTAGTAATTAAACATTACAAAAACCATCAATCGCTAAATGAGATATCTGAGATTGTTAATAGAAGCCGATCTAAAGTTCAGTACATCATAAAACGGTACAAAACAGATGGATGTAGAAAATAAGTCAAAAAATGGCATATAATAAAATATTTACCATGAGTGATGAGAAGTATATTTTACGGCAGATCAAAGAGGATCCATTTTTCAAAGCACCGAAGCTCGCAAAAATTGCAAAAATTGCTGAGAATTATTGTGATTCAAAAAATATGCATTAAAGACTAAAAATACGAACCGGCATCGCGGACGGGACAGCTAGTATACATTATAACAACCAATGCTGTTACATCAAGAACTGTATTGAACTGCATAAGGCGAACATATGGGCCCAGGTTATACAGGCACTAAATGTAACGATCAGCAAACTCACTGCCGAAATATGTCAGAAGAATAAGGGACATAAATCTAGAATGAGCTATACTTTTAGCTGTAGGTATTCTAGTCGTAGAACTGAAGGTTTGTAAAAAATGCCCACACTTAAAGTAAACTTAAAGTACTTATTGCAGTTAGTTTAAAAATTAAATTGAACCAAATGCTAGTTTTTAATCTATCTTGTTTAGATTAAATGTTTATCAAAAATCGTGGGGTGCGGTAATATGAAATACATATCCAATGTTGACAATTGTTATACCCTCAACCATATGGTTATAGAGGGTATATAATTTGATACGTCCAAAACTTGCGGTATCGGTTTTAGACCCCAGGTCTCTTTGGACCGAATCCGTCCGTCCGTCTGGCTGGGATGGTGCGCACGATAACTCTTGAAAGGAGTATTCGATTTGGTCCAAACTTTGTACATCGAATTTTATTGTCAAACTTATATCGAGTTTGGAGATACCACCAACTTCACAGTTTGATCCTTTTGGCCAGCCGCAGTTTTCAGCATAATGCAGAGAACGACTTCTTACTTGGGTTAGCACAAAGTACCATGGGCAAAGTGATAAAAAAACGTCACTATCGAAATACACAAGAAGTTGTGTCCCATAATGACACGCGCAAAAATCACTACATACTTTGTTTTCGATAGCATACTACCTATCGTGTACAACTTCGAGTAGAAACAATTCGATAACGACTGCGGCATATGTCAGAACACTCCTTCTGGTACCTCCTCCACAACGGTTTAAATTTCGCACATCCCAATATTTTCGTAACACAAGATCTGGTGTGAAAATGGAATACAACGGTTTTAAATTTTGAATAATTTTATCTCTCATAAAATGTGAAATAAGCAATCCAATACAATATATTGACAACAACTTTTGGTACGTCCACCACAAAGGGGTCAAAATTTTGAGTAATTAGTCGTTAATCGCGGTTATACTAACCAGGCCTCTGACGCCACTTACTAAGGTAATTTTGTTGTTTAATAGAAAAAACAAATACACAAATAAAGATAAAACTTCTTAGAATTTAACTTAAGCAAGACCTGTTGTAAAGATAATATATATCGGACCACCCTCTCTGTATTTATGCATATTAATTATTCTTAATTTATATTACAATTACTCTCAATGAAGAAAAATTGAATTGTTAGCGGGAGAATCAAATTCTAGAACTTGTTTGTTCGTTTGTCAGTTTAATTCTGATTTTATTGAACAAAATGTATTACTTAAGTGCTAGTACACAACAGAAATCTTAGGGGGGTTTAATCTTATGCATCTACTTAAGGCTACAAACACTTGACATTTTTAATTCTATGCATAGGCCTAATGCAACACACAATTGCTGTGATCTATATTTACTCCCCAGCTGAGCGCATGTTTATGGGAGAATATTCTTTATTATCAATGCGTCTCCAGCAGCATGAAGTGTTATCATCCCTTATGCTCTTATCTTTCATGCACACACATTTACAAGTACTCTAGAATGTTGGGTTAAAAATACATAAACATTTTATAGCCTAAATCACTTAACGATCTAATTTATTGCAGCAGTCTTTCATGTTCATAGTTTTATGAACATTTTCCCGGGCGGCAAATAATTTATTTAGACATCCTGGCCTCGGGGAAATTGAATTTCGGTTATGCGTTTTAATTTTTTCTGTCTTCTTATAAATAAAATAATTAGAATTATTATTACTATAATTACTAAAATAAAAGCTACGTGTGATGAGATGTGATGGAACTTCAAGCCTCGCAATTCCACATTTTCTTTCTTTAACTTGTCCACGAATTTCTTTAGCTCGTCAATTTCTTGATGATGATTGATAAGTATATTTCCAAGGGGTTTGATTGATTCTTTTTCGTCCGGACTTACATCCTTCAAAAGAAACGAATGGAATTCTGTGCTTATCTCGTTATGAACTCTATGCACAGCTACCAACGTTACTTTACCGATCCTCGCTGTACAGTCTGCATCCAGCGTGAGAATTCCTTGCTTTGGAAGTTCCATAATCGTCTGTTGTTTGTGAGAGCATTGCAAATGAGCTGTTGCACTTGAAAAGGTTTTAAAAAGCCAATTGCCATTTCGTTTCAATGGCATCCAATAAGGCATTCGTTCCACTTCGTCATAGGCGCAGTTTAGTTTTATGTGCGGTCTCAGAGGAGATAATTCACAATTATTTGTAGTTGCATCTCTCCATGGAAAATTCTCTTCGCACATTATCTCCTTACCCAACGTCTCTTTGCACTCATTCAGCATAGGCTGTGTTAAGAAATGAAAAGAATCCAGCTCAAAATTATATACAATGTACGGGGAATTCACCCGGGCTATCAATATCGTATTTCCTTCTTCAAATGGTATCGGAATTACTTTGTAAAACTGGGATGACTGCCGATTGAACAGCGGTATTTTTATATTAATTACCAGTTGGGACCCCACAAACGATCCGTGGCACGTCATCAAATGTAAGATCTCTTTTAATTCCATTCCCGTACGCTTTCCTGGCAGTACATATTTTTCAGGCAGAGCATCTCGTATTTTTACTATCTCTGCTTGTAATTGTTTGGGTGTTATCAGGACGGGATGAAACTTACCGCTGTTTACATCAATTAATGCATCAACAACTTCTTTTTGGACTTCGTCACATTCTTCCAAAAGCTCATGAATTTGTTTTGCTATTATAAAGAATCGTATGGATTCTCTATACACGAAGTAATTCTCATTCATTGTAGCACTTATGTTCTCAATTTTGCCTTTGATATCCGAAAAGTGCGAATTCACTTCCTCTGTGGTTTTCCTTAAAAGATTTACTGTAGCGTCGACTACAGATGTCTGTTGTTTTGCTAACTTCTTCAAATCCTTTTGGTTGGCTAATAGATTTTTCATATTGCTCTCCATAGCTACTCGATCGTCATCGTCCATTACCCCAAATGCCCAGTGTTGAAACGAACCTACAAATTTCAACGGAGCTCCTCTTTTTTGACGATTGTCTTCTCTGAGGAATAATCGATTGTTGGTCTTTATCTTATTAATCTTGAGTTCCATATTGTTAATCGTGGACCAACACTGCTCCTCAAAAGTTTGAAGTCGTGGGCATAAGCTTTTTGATGTTTTCAGCAATTCGGAAGCCAGGTCTAATGTTTCTAAATATGGTTTCAGCTCAAAGTACACAACCATATTCCATGATGAGGAAACCATGTGAATTTGAGACATGGGATCCAAATATACCGCAGCCGAACTATTCAGTTCATGTACAGATGATGCCTTGGTAGATATTAGTAAAAATAAGTTCAGCATCATTGCCCACGTTATTGGTTGTTTCCTTATTTTTCGCTCACATCTTGTCATATTAGTATGTGTAATTTCCGCCTGTTTTTCCTGTCTGGGCAATTCTTCAGATTCCTCGTCCATATGCTCCAATGGACATAATTTGTTAATTGGCCTCTTTATCACGCCGTCTTGTGTTTTAACTGTCACAATCCTTACAACTCCGTCCTTCCCTGGATGGACTTCTACCACCTTGGCCAGTGGCCATCGCGCCGCGTGCGTTTCTTCGTTTTTCAATATCACCACATTGCCTATTTCCACATTATTATTTTGTTTCTTCCATTTCATTCGGTTTTGTAATGTGGTTAGATACTCCTCTTTCCATCTGCTCCAAAAATGACTTTTAATTCGTTGTAGCAGTTTCCATCTATTAAGACATCCTAAGTTACCTTCATCGATAGTCGCCGGTGATTCTAACATCGGACGCCCAATTAAGAAATGTCCAGGTGTTAAAGTGTCAATATATTCTGTACCGCTTCCAAGTTCATGTAGCGGCCTCGAATTTAATACTGCTTCAATCTGAGATAGCACCGTACTCAACTCCTCGTAAGTCAATTTCGTATCACCAATTATTCTTTTTAGGTGATATTTCATGGACTTCACTGCTGCTTCCCAAATTCCTCCAACGTGAGGAGCTGCCGGCGGAATGAAATGCCAACTTATTTTTTCATTTTCCAAAATGGGAGCTAACTTCGTGTTGTTTTTAACGGCATCCAAAAAGTCTCTGTCAAGCTGCCTTGCTGCCCCTACGAAGTTCGTTCCGTTGTCTGAATATAAGTCGGTTGATTTTCCTCTTCTCGCGAAAAATCGCCTTAGCGCCGCCAGAAATGCTTCCGTTGTAAGTCCGCTGACAGCTTCCAAATGAACCGCCTTAGTTACCATGCATACGAACACCGCTACGTAACCCTTCATAGCCTTCACTCCTCTTGTTTTGGAGCACCGTATTTGTAGCGGACCCGCATAATCAATGCCACAGTGTTGAAAGGGTTGATTTATACTGACACGGTAAGCTGGTAAATTTCCCATCAATTGATTTCGCACTTCACCTCTAAAGCGCGTACATCTTGGACAACACCTAATGCAAAGTTTTATCCTATTTTTAGCTCCAATAATCCAATATTTTCGTCTTAGTATATTTTCCATAAGTCGATTTCCTCCATGCATCGTTTGAATATGACAATTTCGAATGATATTTCCCGCTAATCTTGACTTTTGAATAATTATTGGATGCTTTTGGTTATAGTTCAGCTCTGACAAAGCAAGTCTTCCACCAACCCGCATTATGCCATTTCGATCCAACTGTGGATGTAGTGAAGCTATTTTACTTTGATGATCCACCGTTCCCAATGTCTTCAATTTCCTTAGTTCCACTGGCCATTCTCTTTCTTGATGTAGTTTTATTATCTCCATCTCTGCTTCTTCCAACTCTTTTGCCGTCAAATGCTCATTTACTGCTCGCTTCTTTTTTAGCCCTTTTATAAAACGCAGTAGATAAGCCATTTCACGTATCTGTTTCTTAAATGACGAATACTTCATCATACTTTCATATAAGTGGTTTTCAGTCGAAAACTTTACTGTTGTTGCTACTGTTTGATTTATGTTGCTTTTTGGCCAATCTTGTTCATCTTTTTTCAGCCATTCGGGGCCTTCCCACCACAATGTATTGTTTGTCAAAGTCTCCGGTGGGACACCCCTTGAACCCATATCTGCTGGATTCTCCTTTGACTTGACGTAGCCCCATTTCGCTTCGGGTATTCTCTCCAAAATATCCATCACCCTTGTTTTTATGAACTTATCCTTGTTTTTGGAGTTGTGAATCCATGCCAAGGAAATCATGGAATCACTCCAAGCAAAAGTTGGTGTTGCTGACTTCAATACTCCTTTGATCTTCTGTAGTAGTTTAGCCAATAGATGTGTTGCACAAAGTTCCAGCTTTGGAAGCGTCTTCCTATTTTTTACTGGATTTACCTTACTTTTTGCAGCCACTATGGTCACCTGCGAATTTACCTTAAGGTATACGACTGCTGCATAAGCCTTCTCGGAAGCATCTGCAAACCCATGTAACTGTGCAGTTTTGTCTTCCAATATTCCAAACCATCTTGGAATCCTTAAATTTTCTAAAGCAGGCAGACTGTATGTAAACTGCCGCCAATCTCCACTCAATTTCTCCTCCAATGGCACATCCCATTCTATTTGTTGTATCCATAACTGCTGTATAAATAGTTTTGCTGTTACCGTGACTGGCGTCAGCCAACCTAATGGATCGAATATTTGTGCCAGTCTTGACAATGCTATTCGTTTTGTCAACTTGTCTTCTTTTTTAATTTGCATACTAAATGTAAAGCAATCGATCTGTGGATTCCATTGTAATCCCAATGTTTTCAAGCATTCATCTTCTTCTATTCTCAGCACTTCATTTTCTTCATTCAATTTCACCGCACTCAATACTTCAGGAGAGTTTGATATCCATTTTCTTAAATGAAACCCATAATCCTCCAGTTGCAGCGTTATCTTCTTCTGCACCTCCCTGCATTCTTGTTTTGTATTCGCTCCTGTTAAAAGGTCGTCCATGTAGAAATCTTCTTTGATCCTCTGAGCGATTTCTTGATTCTGGCACCTATTTCCAATTTCTATGAGCGATCTTACAGCCAGAAATGGTGCTGATGCAGTGCCATATGTTACCGTAGTAAGTTTATATTGTTGGATAGGCTCCGACGGATTACTCCTCCACAACACATGTTGGTATTCCTGGTCTTCTTTTTCAACTTTAATCTGACGAAACATTTTCTCCACATCAGCTGAGATGACAAACTTCCACGATCTCCACTTTGTTACAATGTCAAATATATCTTTTTGAAGCCTTGGTCCCACGTGAAGTATGTCATTCAGCGACTTCCCATTTGAAGTTGTCGATGAAGCATCAAATACCACTCTAACTTTTGTGGTTAGACTTGTTTCACGTACCACTGCTTGGTGCGGCATATAATACAAAGCCTTCTTACTTGGATCCACCTTTACCATTTGGCCCATGGATATGAGCTCGTTCATTGTTTTCTCGTACTCTGACTTTAATTCCGCATTATTTTCTAATCTTTTTTCCAAGTTTATAAACCTCGCCATGGCTCTTTTATATGAATCTCCCAAATCTTTTTCTTCAATTAACGGCAAACGCACGACAAATCTTCCTGAATTGTCTCGGCGTGTTGTGTCTTCATATAACTTAAGGCAGTATTCGTCTTCTTCGGTCGTTTTTTTCATCTTCTATTTCCTCTATTTCCCAGAACCTCTCAATTGTTGTTGTTGCTGCCGATTTCTTTATGTTCAATCCAGGATTTACTACTACTGTTCCAGATAAAATCCAACCCAACTTCGTATTTTGTCCCACAATTTGCTCATCGTGGCGAACTCCTTCTTCCAATATTTGTGAGTAAAGATCGGCTCCAATGACTAAATCGATTCTTTCCGGGCTGTTGAAATTTGGATCTGCCAAATTTACATTTCTCCATTTATCCACGTCATATTGAAACCTTCTGTCGGGATGTGCTGATGCAAGTGCTGGAAGGACTAGTGCTTCTGCCTTAATCATTATGTTGCTCAAAAATCTGGGTCGTAGTTCCAGTGCAACTTTAGATTTCGCCACGCCAACTAGGGTCTCTCCTAGACCTTGTAACCTCACTTCTGTCTTCTTCCTTGGTAGCTGCAACAGTTGAGCCGCGTCCTCTGATATGGATGTAATTTGTGATCCTTGGTCTATCAGCGCTTTGACTGTTACAAATTCTCCATGCAGTGATTTTATACGAACTTGGGCTGTTGCTAGCAGAACATTTGTTGTTGTATTGGTGGTCATTGCTTTCGTATGTCCTCTTCGCTCTAAATGCATCACTGTGATGTGATTCATTCCACACTTCTGGCATTTAATTTCATTGTAACATTTTTTATCCTTGTTGTGGCTTAAGCATCTGAGGCAGACCTGTGCTGATCTTGCCCAATTGTATCTTTCATTCGAAGATAACGCCGAAAATTTTCTGCACCATGCGATATCATGTCCGCTCATTTTACAGAACTTACATTGTTTTAATTCCGCTACCACTGCTGATTTTTCTTGGAGTTTGTACAGTCCTATGTTATTGTGTTTTCTGCCTACTGAAGCTTCCAAGGCTTGAAACTGCTGCTCCAGGAAGTCCATCACATCCTCAAGTTTTTGGATGTCCTTGGATTTCTTTACATTCTGCTCATAAAGAATAAGCCCATCCTTATCCAGTTTCCGTATAATTATTCGGGCTAAAATGGGATCCGCTTGCTCTAGGGGAATATCCATTGCTTTCAACGCCTGAATACTTTCATTTACATTGTCCAGCAAATTTCTTATGCTTATTGCTGACAGGCTGTTGATGTTTTGATGGTCCAGTATTCTATCTACCAATTTAGTGAATAAAATTCTCCTGTTGCCATATCTTTTTTCCAGTAATTCCCATGCTGCTTCATAATTTGCCTCGGTCACTTGAAGATGTTGCACCAAGCGAAATGCCTCTCCTTTTAGATTTGTCTTGAGGTAGTACAGTTTTTGAACTTTTGATAATTTGGAGTTTTCATCAATCATCTTTTTAAATAAATCGTGAAATGAACTCCACTCTTCCACATGACCACTAAAGGATGGTATTTGAACTCTTTTTAGTTCTACTTCCAGTGACTCCTCTTTAAGACCATCTATCCTTCTTATCATATCCTGCATTTTGCTCTCAAACTTTTCTTCAATTTCTTCAAATTCGAGATCTACCTCTTCCATTCCATGCACCGTTGAGAGCTCGAGATGCAATTTCCTAATTTCATCCATATGCTTCTCCCACGATGACTTCATGTACTCCAAAGCATATTTTGATAGTCCAGCTAAATCGCATTCAACGGCATCGGCGAGTTTGTTTACTTTTTTCCTGAATTGGTAGATGATTGCGCTTACTTTTATATTCGCCTGATTGCCCATTGGTGATGATTCTATATGGGTTAGTCTTTCTTCCTCATTTTCTCTTTTATTCTTCTCGAACATCAACATAAATTGTTGCATTTGTTGTTGCATCTGTTGTTGCATTTCCTCTTGGAAGGCCTTTAACTGTTGATCGAGCATTAGCCCATGCACTTCGGGCTCTGCTTCTTTTATTACCCTTTGCGGTTCTCGCTCGACCTCTTCTTCCAAACTCGCTAGGAGTTCCTTTGCTTTTCCATAGTTCAAGTTGATGAGATCCCAAACATTTTCTTTGAAATAGGGATCAGTGTTTTCGCCATGCACTCTCAGCATTTCGTGGTTCGTAGTGGCTTCCTTCATTTTGCTTTCCAGGGATCGTAGTGTGTCACCCATGGCTGCTTTCCGAACCATGCCTGCTTGCAGTTTTTCCTTAATCCCAATTACTTCTTTAAGGAGTAGGCTTTGGAGCTTATACAAGTTATGTCTCGACGCCATTTTTCCTTGTTTTGTGAAGCAAGTAAAATTTGTAGTTTTAGCTTCTTTTCTTTTAATGCCCCTGTGGCTTTTTTCAAAATTATTCTGTTTTATTTTTTGCTTTTGTTGCCCCTATGGCTTTTTTTGATTTTTTCTTTGCCCCTATGGCTTTTTTTGTTTTTTCTTTGCCCCTATGGCTTTTTTTTTTTGTTTTTTATTTGCCCCTATGGCTTTTTTTTTGTTTTGCCCCTATGGCTTTTTTTTTCTGTTTTGTTTTTTTTTTTTTTACAAAAATATAATTCTCTTTTTTTTTTTTTTGAAATATATTTTTGTGGCCGCTGGTTTTTTTTTTGTCGAAGGACCAATGTTAGCGGGAGAATCAAATTCTAGAACTTGTTTGTTCGTTTGTCAGTTTAATTCTGATTTTATTGAACAAAATGTATTACTTAAGTGCTAGTACACAACAGAAATCTTAGGGGGGTTTAATCTTATGCATCTACTTAAGGCTACAAACACTTGACATTTCTAATTCTATGCATAGGCCTAATGCAACACACAATTGCTGTGATCTATATTTACTCCCCAGCTGAGCGCATGTTTATGGGAGAATATTCTTTATTATCAATGCGTCTCCAGCAGCATGAAGTGTTATCATCCCTTATGCTCTTATCTTTCATGCACACACATTTACAAGTACTCTAGAATGTTGGGTTAAAAATACATAAACATTTTATAGCCTAAATCACTTAACGATCTAATTTATTGCAGCAGTCTTTCATGTTCATAGTTTTATGAACATGAATTGAATATATTCTGATTTGTATTCTTCTCATTCTAGGGCTTGATCAATTTATACAACAATTGAGGGATACATGCACACATAAAGTGAAGGCGAATTCCGTGAAACAGGAATATGAAAAACAAGATGAACTTAAGCGTTCTGCACTACGTGCAGTGTGGGCACTGTCCAAAATACCAAAAGCAGGTATTTTAAATAAAATTAATTACTATTGATTCAGAGGATCAATTTTAATTCATTCTTATCTCCTCCAATTCTTTTTAGAAAAAAACCAGCAACTAAGTCACTAGAAGTCGTAGGTTTTAACAGAAAATCACGCTCACACAGACCAGTTCAACCCATGGGCTTGGATTATTTAATCCGTTTTAGACAATCGTAAACATTTTGGAATCAGTACGGTGATGTTCCGTCTCCAAATGGTCAAACATCGGAGAGATCAAATAGTAAGAACAAGATTTAAAACCCTTCTGGTTAATGAAGGAAATTAATTTGATGTCGACGCGCTATAGTAGACTTTAGTAATAAAGAAATAAAAACTAAATCAAGAATCGAAACACTGACATTCACAAAATGTACAGATATTAATTTCACAAAAATCGATGACGTCACAGTTAGAGAATAAGCTTACCCCTTTATTTGTGGAAATAGTTCTATCAGATTTGGAAACTGTTCTTATTAGAGGGAGGGTTGCCCAAAAGAATATTTTAAGACGAAACGAACAACTTTACTTTTTTATTTCGGCTGTTGTCTAAGTTCCCTTTTAACAACTGTAGGAGTTACCACAGATATGCAAAGCACATTCATACGATAGAAACAACTCAAAAAATTATTACTGGAAGACCTGGCCTGACCTGGGAATAACAATTTAAACAACAGGACATCACGAATGCTATAAACAGACAGATACCAAAAAACACAAAGAATCAGAAATAGGTTAATTAACGAACGAAAACGGCACGGTTAACTTATATGATCACTTACTTGCCGGAAATAGAATAATAATGAATGACACGGAGATATTAATATTGTTATTCACATTGCAAAGTAGGAGCAAAGTGTATTTACTAAGGTATAATTGATAATCATATGGTTTTTAACTTTTTTTATTTTTGTCTGTAAAGTAAATTGTCAATTTCAATTTTAAAATTTAAATTTCATAATTTGTTTGAAGCAGTTTATTATCCAAATGTATTAACATGCACAAAGGTAAAACATCGTGTCCTTTAGGAATCAATTTTAGTGGAATTTATGATAAATTTCATTTTGAATTTTTTTCTATTGACTCGTGTACTTAACACAAGAATGGGACATTAAGAGTCTGTCTTATTTAGCTTCAGTACTTTCATGGCAATAGCCATTGTGGGCTACCTAAGTGGTGGACACATAAATCGGGTTGTTACGATTGCTATGGCTTTGGTTGATCACATAAGTCCAATCCTTATAGTTATGTATATTGTGGTTCAATGTATCGATTCGGCAGCTGGTGCGTGTGTGCTTAAACTGCGGCAAGGCATACCACAATAGTGTGACCCAACTGTGTAGTCTCTTCAAAACACGCGAAAATACTTCGTCAATTTAAGGCCCTCTTCACGGCCTTGTTCTTTTTGGGATGTTTTGATATCTCGCAGGATAAGCACAACAAAAAAAAAACATCGGCCAAGCTATCAACAAAAATCAGATACTTTTTAAAGAAAAGTTTTGTTATTATCTTCATATTTTCAGTTTCTATAAACATAATGTTGTTATTGTAAAATGTTAGTTGTAGTTCATGCATACACCTTGAATAGGAGTAATGAACCCTATACAGTACCTGCAAGCGAAACTCGTGCACTTAGCAGACAATATGGTTCTAGAACTAGAACTAGTCTTAGAACAAAAGTTTACTGTTTTTATTTATGTAACAAAATAATGGCATTTATATACATTTATACGGCAATCCTGTTTCGAAATGCGTCAAACTTCGCGGGATTGTTGAAAAATATATTTGGGGTCCTTAAAAGCTAATTAATTACAAATATCCACGTGTTGTGTAGTTTACTGACGTAAATATTAAACAAACCACTGCTGAAGTGAGAAATTTAGTAATTAAACATTACAAAAACCATCAATCGCTAAATGAGATATCTGAGATTGTTAATAGAAGCCGATCTAAAGTTCAGTACATCATAAAACGGTACAAAACAGATGGATGTAGAAAATAAGTCAAAAAATGGCATATAATAAAATATTTACCATGAGTGATGAGAAGTATATTTTACGGCAGATCAAAGAGGATCCATTTTTCAAAGCACCGAAGCTCGCAAAAATTGCAAAAATTGCTGAGAATTATTGTGATTCAAAAAATATGCATTAAAGACTAAAAATACGAACCGGCATCGCGGACGGGACAGCTAGTATACATTATAACAACCAATGCTGTTACATCAAGAACTGTATTGAACTGCATAAGGCGAACATATGGGCCCAGGTTATACAGGCACTAAATGTAACGATCAGCAAACTCACTGCCGAAATATGTCAGAAGAATAAGGGACATAAATCTAGAATGAGCTATACTTTTAGCTGTAGGTATTCTAGTCGTAGAACTGAAGGTTTGTAAAAAATGCCCACACTTAAAGTAAACTTAAAGTACTTATTGCAGTTAGTTTAAAAATTAAATTGAACCAAATGCTAGTTTTTAATCTATCTTGTTTAGATTAAATGTTTATCAAAAATCGTGGGGTGCGGTAATATGAAATACATATCCAATGTTGACAATTGTTATACCCTCAACCATATGGTTATAGAGGGTATATAATTTGATACGTCCAAAACTTGCGGTATCGGTTTTAGACCCCAGGTCTCTTTGGACCGAATCCGTCCGTCCGTCTGGCTGGGATGGTGCGCACGATAACTCTTGAAAGGAGTATTCGATTTGGTCCAAACTTTGTACATCGAATTTTATTGTCAAACTTATATCGAGTTTGGAGATACCACCAACTTCACAGTTTGATCCTTTTGGCCAGCCGCAGTTTTCAGCATAATGCAGAGAACGACTTCTTACTTGGGTTAGCACAAAGTACCATGGGCAAAGTGATAAAAAAACGTCACTATCGAAATACACAAGAAGTTGTGTCCCATAATGACACGCGCAAAAATCACTACATACTTTGTTTTCGATAGCATACTACCTATCGTGTACAACTTCGAGTAGAAACAATTCGATAACGACTGCGGCATATGTCAGAACACTCCTTCTGGTACCTCCTCCACAACGGTTTAAATTTCGCACATCCCAATATTTTCGTAACACAAGATCTGGTGTGAAAATGGAATACAACGGTTTTAAATTTTGAATAATTTTATCTCTCATAAAATGTGAAATAAGCAATCCAATACAATATATTGACAACAACTTTTGGTACGTCCACCACAAAGGGGTCAAAATTTTGAGTAATTAGTCGTTAATCGCGGTTATACTAACCAGGCCTCTGACGCCACTTACTAAGGTAATTTTGTTGTTTAATAGAAAAAACAAATACACAAATAAAGATAAAACTTCTTAGAATTTAACTTAAGCAAGACCTGTTGTAAAGATAATATATATCGGACCACCCTCTCTGTATTTATGCATATTAATTATTCTTAATTTATATTACAATTACTCTCAATGAAGAAAAATTGAATTGAATATATTCTGATTTGTATTCTTCTCATTCTAGGGCTTGATCAATTTATACAACAATTGAGGGATACATGCACACATAAAGTGAAGGCGAATTCCGTGAAACAGGAATATGAAAAACAAGATGAACTTAAGCGTTCTGCACTACGTGCAGTGTGGGCACTGTCCAAAATACCAAAAGCAGGTATTTTAAATAAAATTAATTACTATTGATTCAGAGGATCAATTTTAATTCATTCTTATCTCCTCCAATTCTTTTTAGAAAAAAACCAGCAACTAACTGATTTTCTTAAATCAATCAACGATTCCCCAGAACTCAGTAAAATATATGAATACGTTCAGAAGGACTCTCTTTCAAATAATTTGGATTTTACGATGGATGAAAGCTAAATTAAAGTTGTGTATTACTTTTTTAGTAATGTAAAGTTATTTTTGGGTTTAAATAAATTAATAATTCAAAATAAATAATTAACCCATTTACTGTATAATAATTTAATAGAAAAGTTTAATGAATATAAACATAGCAGCCAGAGGAACCAGTACCCATTTTATGCGAATAATTCTAATAAAACATTTTTTATTCACACATTGTTTAATTTTTTTATTTTTCTTCTCGTTTGTAACACCTGTTCTCACCTCAATATGCAAGACGGATTCTGGTAAACAATTTAATACGCTAACTGGAACCAAACAAGGGAGAACAATTAATAAGACTCTGAACGAATAAAATGAAAAATAATATTTAAATGTTTGTAAAACATCAGCAGAACTTCTATATAGCCTGGGAAGGAAGCGATCAAATCAGCCACTAAGTCAACCAGCCAGCTATTTGTGAAGTCTACCAATCGAACTTCCAGCACATGTAGTTACACAGCTAAACTATAATATATTTAGAGTAGTTGTAAGTAGAGTTATAAGTAATATTGTAATCAATTGCCTACTCTTAGTATCTGCTATAGTTTTGTAAATGTGACTGAAGAATAAAATATTTTTTTTTAGGAAATTGATGATTATTCTTTTAAAAGAGACATTTTATTAAATTATGGTATTCAAAACATTTCAGTGGTCGTGAAATTTTACAATATAAATGTCAGAGGAATATGTAGAATTGTCGATGGGAGAGCAAATAAGAACACTTGTAGATTCGGCTATCCAAGCAGCTTCAGCTGTCAATCAATTGAAACCAACCCTATTGCCTTACAAGACATTGATGACTTAAGAAAAAACAGTGTGAGTGTTTATATCAGATACAAAGACTGTTTTCAAATCTGTCCTCTACATAAGCTTTTGCCCAAGAAGTAGAATCTGATAGGGAGATGTATTTTTCCCCGTCTTATTTCATCGGATCTCGCGAAGGTAAATTAACCACAAACGAAGAAAACCCCTAATTTCACTAGAAGTCGTAGGTTTTAACAGAAAATCACGCTCACACAGACCAGTTCAACCCATGGGCTTGGATTATTTAATCCGTTTTAGACAATCGTAAACATTTTGGAATCAGTACGGTGATGTTCCGTCTCCAAATGGTCAAACATCGGAGAGATCAAGTAGTAAGAACAAGATTTAAAACCCTTCTGGTTAATGAAGGAAGTTAATTTGACGTCGACGCGCTATAGTAGACTTTAGTAATAAAGAAATAAAAACTAAATCAAGAATCGAAACACTGACATTCACAAAATGTACAGATATTAATTTCACAAAAATCGATGACGTCGCAGTTAGAGAATAAGCTTACCCTTTATTTGTGGAAATAGTTCTATCAGATTTGGAAACTGTTCTTATTAGAGGAAGGGTTGCCCAAAAGAATATTTTAAGACGAAACGAACAACTTTACTTTTTTATTTCGGCTGTTGTCTAAGTTCCCTTTTAACAACTGTAGGAGTTACCACAGATATGCAAAGCACATTCATACGATAGAAACAACTCAAACAATTATTACTGGAAGACCTGGCCTGACCTGGGAATAACAATTTAAACAACAGGACATTACGAATGCTATAAACAGACAGATACCAAAAAACACAAAGAATCAGAAATAGGTTAATTAACGAACGAAAACGGCACGGTTAACTTATATGATCACTTACTTGCCGGAAATAGAATAATAATGAATGACACGGAGATATTAATATTGTTATTCACATTGCAAAGTAGGAGCAAAGTGTATTTACTAAGGTATAATTGATAATCATATGGTTTTTAACTTTTTTTTATTTTTGTCTGTAAAGTAAATTGTCAATTTCAATTTTAAAATTTAAATTTCATAATTTGTTTGAAGCAGTTTATTATCCAAATGTATTAACATGCACAAAGGTAAAACATCGTGTCCTTTAGGAATCAATTTTAGTGGAATTTATGATAAATTTCATTTTGAATTTTTTTCTATTGACTCGTGTACTTAACACAAGAATGGGACATTAAGAGTCTGTCTTATTTAGCTTCAGTACTTTCATGGCAATAGCCATTGTGGGCTACCTAAGTGGTGGACACATAAATCGGGTTGTTACGATTGATATGGCTTTGGTTGATCACATAAGTCCAATCCTTATAGTTATGTATATTGTGGTTCAATGTATCGATTCGGCAGCTGGTGCGTGTGTGCTTAAACTGCGGCAAGGCATACCACAATAGTGTGACCCAACTGTGTAGTCTCTTCAAAACACGCGAAAATACTTCGTCAATTTAAGGCCCTCTTCACGGCCTTGTTCTTTTTGGGATGTTTTGATATCTCGCAGGATAAGCACAGGTATAAGCACAACAAAAAAACATCGGCCAAGCTATCAACAAAAATCAGATACTTTTTAAAGAAAAGTTTTGTTATTATCTTCATATTTTCAGTTTCTATAAACATAATGTTGTTATTGTAAAATGTTAGTTGTAGTTCATGCATACACCATGAATAGGAGTAATGAACCCTATACAGTAGCTGCAAGCGAAACTCGTGCACTTAGCAGACAATATGGTTCTAGAACTAGAACTAGTCTTAGAACAAAAGTTTACTGTTTTTATTTATGTAACAAAATAATGGCATTTATATACATTTATACGGCAATCCTGTTTCGAACTGCGTCAAACTTCACGGGATTGTTGAAAAATATATTTGGGGAAGTCCTTAAAAGCTAATTAATTACAAATATCCACGTGTTGTGTAGTTTACTGACGTAAATATTAAACAAACCACTGCTGAAGTGAGAAATTTAGTAATTAAACATTACAAAAACCATCAATCGCTAAATGAGATATCTGAGATTGTTAATAGAAGCCGATCTAAAGTTCAGTACATCATAAAACGGTACAAAACAGATGGATGTAGAAAATAAGTCAAAAAATGGCATATAATAAAATATTTACCATGAGTGATGAGAAGTATATTTTACGGCAGATCAAAGAGGATCCATTTTTTAATGCACCGAAGCTCGCAAAAATTGCAAAAATTGCTGAGAATAAAAATACGAACCGGCATCGCGGACGGGACAGCTAGTATACATTATAACAACCAATGCTGTTACATCAAGAACTGTATTGAACTGCATAAGGCGAACATATGGGCCCAGGTTATACAGGCACTAAATGTAACGATCAGCAAACTCACTGCCGAAATATGTCAGAAGAATAAGGGACATAAATCTAGAATGAGCTATACTTTTAGATGTAGGTATTCTAGTCGTAGAACTGAAGGTTTGTAAAAAATGCCCACACTTAAAGTAAACTTAAAGTACTTATTGCAGTATAATTAGTTTAAAAATTAAATTGAACCAAATGCTAGTTTTTAATCTATCTTGTTTAGATTAAATGTTTATCAAAAATCGTGGGGTGCGGTAATATGAAATACATATCCAATGTTGACAATTGTTATACCCTCAACCATATGGCTATAGAGGGTATATAATTTGATACGTCCAAAACTTGCGGTATCGGTTTTAGACCCCAGGTCTCTTTGGACCGAATCCGTCCGTCCGTCTGGCTGGGATGATGCGCACGATAACTCTTGAAAGGAGTATTCGATTTGGTCCAAACTTTGTACATCGAATTTTATTGTCAAACTTATATCGAGTTTGGAGATACCACCAACTTCACAGTTTGATCCTTTTGGCCAGCCGCAGTTTTCAGCATAATGCAGAGAACGACTTCTTACTTGGGTTAGCACAAAGTACCATGGGCAAAGTGATAAAAAAAACAAGAAGTTGTGTCCCATAATGACACGCGCAAAAATCACTACATACTTTGTTTTCGATAGCATACTACCTATCGTGTACAACTTCGAGTAGAAACAATTCGATAACGACTGCGGCATATGTCGGAACACTCCTTCTGGTACCTCCTCCACAACGGTTTAAATTTCGCACATCCCAATATTTTCGTAACACAAGATCTGGTGTGAAAATGGAATACAACGGTTTTAAATTTTGAATAATTTTATCTCTCATAAAATGTGAAATAAGCAATCCAATACAATATATTGACAACAACTTTTGGTACGTCCACCACAAAGGGGTCAAAATTTTGAGTAACTAGTCGTTAATCGCGGTTATACTAACCAGGCCTCTGACGCCACATACTAAGGTAATTTTGTTGTTTAATAGAAAAAACAAATACACAAATAAAGATAAAACTTCTTAGAATTTAACTTAAGCAAGATCTGTTGTAAAGATAATATATATCGGACCACCCTCTCTGTATTTATGCATATTAATTATTCTTAATTTATATTACAATTACTCTCAATGAAGAAAAATTGAATTGAATATATTCTGATTTGTATTCTTCTCATTCTAGGGCTTGATCAATTTATACAACAATTGAGGGATACATGCACACATAAAGTGAAGGCGAATTCCGTGAAACAGGAATATGAAAAACAAGATGAACTTAAGCGTTCTGCACTACGTGCAGTGTGGGCACTGTCCAAAATACCAAAAGCAGGTATTTTAAATAAAATTAATTACTATTGATTCAGAGGATCAATTTTAATTCATTCTTATCTCCTCCAATTCTTTTTAGAAAAAAACCAGCAACTAACTGATTTTCTTAAATCAATCAACGATTCCCCAGAACTCAGTAAAATATATGAATACGTTCAGAAGGACTCTCTTTCAAATAATTTGGATTTTACGATGGATGAAAGCTAAATTAAAGTTGTGTATTACTTTTTTAGTAATGTAAAGTTATTTTTGGGTTTAAATAAATTAATAATTCAAAATAAATAATTAACCCATTTACTGTATAATAATTTAATAGAAAAGTTTAATGAATATAAACATAACAGCCAGAGGAACCAGTACCCATTTTATGCGAATAATTCTAATAAAACATTTTTTTATTCACACATTGTTTAATTTTTTTATTTTTCTTCTCGTTTGTAACACCTGTTCTCACCTCAATATGCCTGACGGATTCTGGTAAGCAATTTAATACGCTAACTGGCGCCAAACAAGGGAGAACAATTAATAAGACTCTGAATGAATAAAATGAAAAATAACATTTAAAATGTTTGTAAAACATCAGCAGAACATCTATATAGCCTGGGAAGGAAGCGATCAAATCAGCCACTAAGTCAACCAGCCAGCTATTTGTGAAGTCTACCAATCGAACTTCCAGCACATGTAGTTACACAGCTAAACTATAATATATTTAGAGTAGTTGTAAGTAGAGTTATAAGTAATATTGTAATCAATTGCCTACTCTTAGTATCTGCAATTATTTTGTAAATGTGACTGAAGAATAAATTATTTTTTTTTTTTTAGGAAATTGATGATTATTCTTTTAAAAAGAGACATTTTATTAAATTATGGTATTCAAAACATTTCAGTGGTCGTGAAATTTTACAATCTAAATGTCAGAGGAATATGTAGAATTGTCGATGGGAGAGCAAATAAGAACACTTGTAGATTCGGCTATCCAAGCAGCTTCAGCTGTCAATCAATTGAAACCAACCCTATTGCCTTACAAGACATTGATGACTTAAGAAAAAACAGTGTGAGTGTTTATATCAGATACAAAGACTGTTTTCAAATCTGTCCTCTACATAAGCTTTTGCCCAAGAAGTAGAATCTGATAGGGAGATGTATTTTTCCCCGTCTTATTTCATCGGATCTCGCGAAGGTAAATTAACCACAAACGAAGAAAACCCCTAATTTCACTAGAAGTCGTAGGTTTTAACAGAAAATCACGCTCACACAGACCAGTTCAACCCATGGGCTTGGATTATTTAATCCGTTTTAGACAATCGTAAACATTTTGGAATCAGTACGGTGATGTTCCGTCTCCAAATGGTCAAACATCGGAGAGATCAAGTAGTAAGAACAAGATTTAAAACCCTTCTGGTTAATGAAGGAAGTTAATTTGACGTCGCTACTATAGCGACTTTAGTAATAAAGAAATAAAAACTAAATCAAGAATCGAAACACTGACATTCACAAAATGTACAGATATTAATTTCACAAAAATCGATGACGTCGCAGTTAGAGAATAAGCTTACCCTTTATTTGTGGAAATAGTTCTATCAGATTTGGAAACTGTTCTTATTAGAGGAAGGGTTGCCCAAAAGAATATTTTAAGACGAAACGAACAACTTTACTTTTTTATTTCGGCTGTTGTCTAAGTTCCCATTTAACAACTGTAGGAGTTACCACAGATATGCAAAGCACATTCATACGATAGAAACAACTCAAACAATTATTACTGGAAGACCTGGCCTGACCTGGGAATAACAATTTAAACAACAGGACATTACGAATGCTATAAACAGACAGATACCAAAAAACACAAAGAATCAGAAATAGGTTAATTAACGAACGAAAACGGCACGGTTAACTTATATGATCACTTACTTGCCGGAAATAGAATAATAATGAATGACACGGAGATATTAATATTGTTATTCACATTGCAAAGTAGGAGCAAAGTGTATTTACTAAGGTATAATTGAAATCATATGGTTTTTAACTTTTTTTATTTTTGTCTGTAAAGTAAATTGTCAATTTCAATTTTAAAATTTAAATTTCATAATTTGTTTGAAGCAGTTTATTAGCCAAATGTATTAAAATGCACAAAGGTAAAACATCGTGTCCTTTAGGAATCAATTTTAGTGGAATTTATGATAAATTTCATTTTGAATTTTTTTCTATTGACTCGTGTACTTAACACAAGAATGGGACATTAAGAGTCTGTCTTATTTAGCTTCAGTACTTTCATGGCAATAGCCATTGTGGGCTACCTAAGTGGTGGACACATAAATCGGGTTGTTACGATTGATATGGCTTTGGTTGATCACATAAGTCCAATCCTTATAGTTATGTATATTGTGGTTCAATGTATCGATTCGGCAGCTGGTGCGTGTGTGCTTAAACTGCGGCAAGGCATACCACAATAGTGTGACCCAACTGTGTAGTCTCTTCAAAACACGCGAAAATACTTCGTCAATTTAAGGCCCTCTTCACGGCCTTGTTCTTTTTGGGATGTTTTGATATCTCGCAGGATAAGCACAGGTATAAGCACAACAAAAAAACATCGGCCAAGCTATCAACAAAAATCAGATACTTTTTAAAGAAAAGTTTTGTTATTATCTTCATATTTTCAGTTTCTATAAACATAATGTTGTTATTGTAAAATGTTAGTTGTAGTTCATGCATACACCATGAATAGGAGTAATGAACCCTATACAGTAGCTGCAAGCGAAACTCGTGCACTTAGCAGACAATATGGTTCTAGAACTAGAACTAGTCTTAGAACAAAAGTTTACTGTTTTTATTTATGTAACAAAATAATGGCATTTATATACATTTATACGGCAATCCTGTTTCGAACTGCGTCAAACTTCACGGGATTGTTGAAAAATATATTTGGGGAAGTCCTTAAAAGCTAATTAATTACAAATATCCACGTGTTGTGTAGTTTACTGACGTAAATATTAAACAAACCACTGCTGAAGTGAGAAATTTAGTAATTAAACATTACAAAAACCATCAATCGCTAAATGAGATATCTGAGATTGTTAATAGAAGCCGATCTAAAGTTCAGTACATCATAAAACGGTACAAAACAGATGGATGTAGAAAATAAGTCAAAAAATGGCATATAATAAAATATTTACCATGAGTGATGAGAAGTATATTTTACGGCAGATCAAAGAGGATCCATTTTTTAATGCACCGAAGCTCGCAAAAATTGCAAAAATTGCTGAGAATAAAAATACGAACCGGCATCGCGGACGGGACAGCTAGTATACATTATAACAACCAATGCTGTTACATCAAGAACTGTATTGAACTGCATAAGGCGAACATATGGGCCCAGGTTATACAGGCACTAAATGTAACGATCAGCAAACTCACTGCCGAAATATGTCAGAAGAATAAGGGACATAAATGTAGAATGAGCTATACTTTTAGATGTAGGTATTCTAGTCGTAGAACTGAAGGTTTGTAAAAAATGCCCACACTTAAAGTAAACTTAAAGTACTTATTGCAGTATAATTAGTTTAAAAATTAAATTGAACGAAATGCTAGTTTTTAATCTATCTTGTTTAGATTAAATGTTTATCAAAAATCGTGGGGTGCGGTAATATGAAATACATATCCAATGTTGACAATTGTTATACCCTCAACCATATGGCTATAGAGGGTATATAATTTGATACGTCCAAAACTTGCGGTATCGGTTTTAGACCCCAGGTCTCTTTGGACCGAATCCGTCCGTCCGTCTGGCTGGGATAGTGCGCACGATAACTCTTGAAAGGAGTATTCGATTTGGTCCAAACTTTGTACATCGAATTTTATTGTCAAACTTATATCGAGTTTGGAGATACCACCAACTTCACAGTTTGATCCTTTTGGCCAGCCGCAGTTTTCAGCATAATGCAGAGAACGACTTCTTACTTGGGTTAGCACAAAGTACCATGGGCAAAGTGATAAAAAAACAAGAAGTTGTGTCCCATAATGACACGCGCAAAAATCACTACATACTTTGTTTTCGATAGCATACTACCTATCGTGTACAACTTCGAGTAGAAACAATTCGATAACGACTGCGGCATATGTCGGAACACTCCTTCTGGTACCTCCTCCACAACGGTTTAAATTTCGCACATCCCAATATTTTCGTAACACAAGATCTGGTGTGAAAATGGAATACAACGGTTTTAAATTTTGAATAATTTTGTCTCTCATAAAATGTGAAATAAGCAATCCAATACAATATATTGACAACAACTTTTGGTACGTCCACCACAAAGGGGTCAAAATTTTGAGTAATTAGTCGTTAATCGCGGTTATACTAACCAGGCCTCTGACGCCACTTACTAAGGTAATTTTGTTGTTTAATAGAAAAAACAAATACACAAATAAGGATAAAACTTCTTAGAATTTAACTTAAGCAAGATCTGTTGTAAAGATAATATATATCGGACCACCCTCTCTGTATTTATGCATATTAATTATTCTTAATTTATATTACAATTACTCTCAATGAAGAAAAATTGAATTGAATATATTCTGATTTGTATTCTTCTCATTCTAGGGCTTGATCAATTTATACAACAATTGAGGGATACATGCACACATAAAGTGAAGGCGAATTCCGTGAAACAGGAATATGAAAAACAAGATGAACTTAAGCGTTCTGCACTACGTGCAGTGTGGGCACTGTCCAAAATACCAAAAGCAGGTATTTTAAATAAAATTAATTACTATTGATTCAGAGGATCAATTTTAATTCATTCTTATCTCCTCCAATTCTTTTTAGAAAAAAACCAGCAACTAACTGATTTTCTTAAATCAATCAACGATTCCCCAGAACTCAGTAAAATATATGAATACGTTCAGAAGGACTCTCTTTCAAATAATTTGGATTTTACGATGGATGAAAGCTAAATTAAAGTTGTGTATTACTTTTTTAGTAATGTAAAGTTATTTTTGGGTTTAAATAAATTAATAATTCAAAATAAATAATTAACCCATTTACTGTATAATAATTTAATAGAAAAGTTTAATGAATATAAACATAGCAGCCAGAGGAACCAGTACCCATTTTATGCGAATAATTCTAATAAAACATTTTTTATTCACACATTGTTTAATTTTTTTATTTTTCTTCTCGTTTGTAACACCTGTTCTCACCTCAATATGCCTGATGGATTCTGGTAAGCAATTTAATACGCTAACTGGCGCCAAACAAGGGAGAACAATTAATAAGACGCTGAATGAATAAAATGAAAAATAACATTTAAAATGTTTGTAAAACATCAGCAGAACATCTATATAGCCTGGGAAGGAAGCGATCAAATCAGCCACTAAGTCAACCAGCCAGCTATTTGTGAAGTCTACCAATCGAACTTCCAGCACATGTAGTTACACAGCTAAACTATAATATATTTAGAGTAGTTGTAAGTAGAGTTATAAGTAATATTGTAATCAATTGCCTACTCTTAGTATCTGCTATTATTTTGTAAATGTGACTGAAGAATAAAATATTTTTTTTTTTTAGGAAATTGATGATTATTCTTTTAAAAGAGACATTTTATTAAATTATGGTATTCAAAACATTTCAGTGGTCGTGAAATTTTACAATCTAAATGTCAGAGGAATATGTAGAATTGTCGATGGGAGAGCAAATAAGAACACTTGTAGATTCGGCTATCCAAGCAGCTTCAGCTGTCAATCAATTGAAACCAACCCTATTGCCTTACAAGACATTGATGACTTAAGAAAAAACAGTGTGAGTGTTTATATCAGATACAAAGACTGTTTTCAAATCTGTCCTCTACATAAGCTTTTGCCCAAGAAGTAGAATCTGATAGGGAGATGTATTTTTCCCCGTCTTATTTCATCGGATCTCGCGAAGGTAAATTACCCACAAACGAAGAAAACCCCTAATTTCACTAGAAGTCGTAGGTTTTAACAGAAAATCACGCTCACACAGACCAGTTCAACCCATGGGCTTGGATTATTTAATCCGTTTTAGACAATCGTAAACATTTTGGAATCAGTACGGTGATGTTCCGTCTCCAAATGGTCAAACATCGGAGATATCAAATAGTAAGAACAAGATTTAAAACCCTTCTGGTTAATGAAGGAAATTAATTTGATGTCGACGCGCTATAGTAGACTTTAGTAATAAAGAAATAAAAACTAAATCAAGAATCGAAACACTGACATTCACAAAATGTACAGATATTAATTTCACAAAAATCGATGACGTCACAGTTAGAGAATAAGCTTACCCCTTTATTTGTGGAAATAGTTCTATCAGATTTGGAAACTGTTCTTATTAGAGGGAGGGTTGCCCAAAAGAATATTTTAAGACGAAACGAACATCTTTACTTTTTTATTTCGGCTGTTGTCTAATTTTCCCTTTTAACAACTGTAGGAGTTACCACAGATATGCAAAGCACATTCATACGATAGAAACAACTCAAAAAATTATTACTGGAAGACCTGGCCTGACCTGGGAATAACAATTTAAACAACAGGACATCACGAATGCTATAAACAGACAGATACCAAAAAACACAAAGAATCAGAAATAGGTTAATTAACGAACGAAAATCATATGGTTTTTAACTTTTTTTATTTTTGTCTGTAAAGTAAATTGTCAATTTCAATTTTAAAATTTAAATTTCATAATTTGTTTGAAGCAGTTTATTATCCAAATGTATTAACATGCACAAAGGTAAAACATCGTGTCCTTTAGGAATCAATTTTAGTGGAATTTATGATAAATTTCATTTTGAATTTTTTTCTATTGACTCGTGTACTTAACACAAGAATGGGACATTAAGAGTCTGTCTTATTTAGCTTCAGTACTTTCATGGCAATAGCCATTGTGGGCTACCTAAGTGGTGGACACATAAATCGGGTTGTTACGATTGCTATGGCTTTGGTTGATCACATAAGTCCAATCCTTATAGTTATGTATATTGTGGTTCAATGTATCGATTCGGCAGCTGGTGCGTGTGTGCTTAAACTGCGGCAAGGCATACCACAATAGTGTGACCCAACTGTGTAGTCTCTTCAAAACACGCGAAAATACTTCGTCAATTTAAGGCCCTCTTCACGGCCTTGTTCTTTTTGGGATGTTTTGATATCTCGCAGGATAAGCACAGGTATAAGCACAACAAAAAAACATCGGCCAAGCTATCAACAAAAATCAGATACTTTTTAAAGAAAAGTTGTGTTATTATCTTCATATTTTCAGTTTCTATAAACATAATGTTGTTATTGTAAAATGTTAGTTGTAGTTCATGCATACACCTTGAATAGGAGTAATGAACCCTATACAGTAGCTGCAAGCGAAACTCGTGCACTTAACAGACAATATGGTTCTAGAACTAGAACTAGTCTTAGAACAAAAGTTTACTGTTTTTATTTATGTAACAAAATAATGGCATTTATATACATTTATACGGCAATCCTGTTTCGAACTGCGTTAAACTTCACGGGATTGTTGAAAAATATATTTGGGGAAGTCCTTAAAAGCTAATTAATTACAAATATCCACGTGTTGTGTAGTTTACTGACGTAAATATTAAACAAACCACTGCTGAAGTGAGAAATTCAGTAATTAAACATTACAAAAACCATCAATCGCTAAATGAGATATCTGAGATTGTTAATAGAAGCCGATCTAAAGTTCAGTACATCATAAAATGGTACAAAACAGATGGATGTAGAAAATAAGTCAAAAAATGGCATATAATAAAATATTTACCATGAGTGATGAGAAGTATATTTTACGGCAGATCAAAGAGGATCCATTTTTTAATGCACCGAAGCTCGCAAAAATTGCAAAAATTGCTGAGAATAAAAATACGAACCGGCATCGCGGACGGGACAGCTAGTATACATTATAACAACCAATGCTGTTACATCAAGAACTGTATTGAACTGCATAAGGCGAACATATGGGCCCAGGTTATACAGGCACTAAATGTAACGATCAGCAAACTCACTGCCGAAATATGTCAGAAGAATAAGGGACATAAATCTAGAATGAGCTATACTTTTAGATGTAGGTATTCTAGTCGTAGAACTGAAGGTTTGTAAAAAATGTCCACACTTAAAGTAAACTTAAAGTACTTATTGCAGTATAATTAGTTTAAAAATTAAATTGAACCAAATGCTAGTTTTTAATTTACCTTGTTTAGATTAAATGTTTATCAAAAATCGTGGGGTGCGGTAATATGAAATACATATCCAATGTTGACAATTGTTATACCCTCAACCATATGGTTATAGAGGGTATATAATTTGATACGTCCAAAACTTGCGGTATCGGTTTTAGACCCCAGGTCTCTTTGGACCGAATCCTTCCGTCCGTCTGGCTGGGATGGTGCGCACGATAACTCTTGAAAGGAGTATTCGATTTGGTCCAAACTTTGTACATCGAATTTTATTGTCAAACTTATATCGAGTTTGGAGATACCACCAACTTCACAGTTTGATCCTTTTGGCCAGCCGCAGTTTTCAGCATAATGCAGAGAACGACTTCTTACTTGGGTTAGCACAAAGTACCATGGGCAAAGTGATAAAAAAACGTCACTATCGAAATACACAAGAAGTTGTGTCCCATAATGACACGCGCAAAAATCACTACATACTTTGTTTTCGATAGCATACTACCTATCGTGTACAACTTCGAGTAGAAACAATTCGATAACGACTGCGGCATATGTCGGAACACTCCTTCTGGTACCTCCTCCACAACGGTTTAAATTTCGCACATCCCAATATTTTCGTAACACAAGATCTGGTGTGAAAATGGAATACAACGGTTTTAAATTTTGAATAATTTTATCTCTCATAAAATGTGAAATAAGCAATCCAATACAATATATTGGACAACAACTTTTGGTACGTCCACCACAAAGGGGTCAAAATTTTGAGTAATTAGTCGTTAATCGCGGTTATACTAACCAGGCCTCTGACGCCACTTACTAAGGTAATTTTGTTGTTTAATAGAAAAAACAAATACACAAATAAAGATAAAACTTCTTAGAATTTAACTTAAGCAAGATCTGTTGTAAAGATAATATATATCGGACCACCCTCACTGTATTTATGCATATTAATTATTCTTAATTTATATTACAATTACTCTCAATGAAGAAAAATTGAATTGAATATATTCTGATTTGTATTCTTCTCATTCTAGGGCTTGATCAATTTATACAACAATTGAGGGATACATGCACACATAAAGTGAAGGCGAATTCCGTGAAACAGGAATATGAAAAACAAGATGAACTTAAGCGTTCTGCACTACGTGCAGTGTGGGCACTGTCTAAAATACCAAAAGCAGGTATTTTAAATAAAATTAATTACTATTGATTCAGAGGATCAATTTTAATTCATTCTTATCTCCTCCAATTCTTTTTAGAAAAAAACCAGCAACTAACTGATTTTCTTAAATCAATCAACGATTCCCCAGAACTCAGTAAAATATATGAATACGTTCAGAAGGACTCTCTTTCAAATAATTTGGATTTTACGATGGATGAAAGCTAAATTAAAGTTGTGTATTACTTTTTTAGTAATGTAAAGTTATTTTTGGGTTTAAATAAATTAATAATTCAAAATAAATAATTAACCCATTTACTGTATAATAATTTAATAGAAAAGTTTAATGAATATAAACATAGCAGCTAGAGGAACCAGTACCCATTTTATGCGAATAATTCTAATAAAACATTTTTTATTCACACATTGTTTAATTTTTTTATTTTTCTTCTCGTTTGTAACACCTGTTCTCACCTCAATATGCCTGACGGATTCTGGTAAGCAATTTAATACGCTAACTGGCGCCAAACAAGGGAGAACAATTAATAAGACTCTGAATGAATAAAATGAAAAATAACATTTAAAATGTTTGTAAAACATCAGCAGAACATCTATATAGCCTGGGAAGGAAGCGATCAAATCAGCCACTAAGTCAACCAGCCAGCTATTTGTGAAGTCTACAAATCGAACTTCCAGCACATGTAGTTACACAGCTAAACTATAATATATTTAGAGTAGTTGTAAGTAGAGTTATAAGTAATATTGTAATCAATTGCCTACTCTTAGTATCTGCTATTATTTTGTAAATGTGACTGAAGAATAAAATATTTTTTTTTTTAGGAAATTGATGATTATTCTTTTAAAGGAGACATTTTATTAAATTATGGTATTCAAAACATTTCAGTGGTCGTGAAATTTTACAATCTAAATGTCAGAGGAATATGTAGAATTGTCGATGGGAGAGCAAATAAGAACACTTGTAGATTCGGCTATCCAAGCAGCTTCAGCTGTCAATCAATTGAAACCAACCCTATTGCCTTACAAGACATTGATGACTTAAGAAAAAACAGTGTGAGTGTTTATATCAGATACAAAGACTGTTTTCAAATCTGTCCTCTACATAAGCTTTTGCCCAAGAAGTAGAATCTGATAGGGAGAGGTATTTTTCCCCGTCTTATTTCATCGGATCTCGCGAAGATAAATTAACCACAAACGAAGAAAACCCCTAATTTTACTAGAAGTCGTAGGTTTTAACAGAAAATCACGCTCACACAGACCAGTTCAACCCATGGGCTTGGATTATTCAATCCGTTTTAGACAATCGTAAACATTTTGGAATCAGTACGGTGATGTTCCGTCTCCAAATGGTCAAACATCGGAGAGATCAAATAGTAAGAACAAGATTTAAAACCCTTCTGGTTAATGAAGGAAGTTAATTTGACGTCGACGCGCTATAGTAGACTTTAGTAATAAAGAAATAAAAACTAAATCAAGAATCGAAACACTGACATTCATAAAATGTACAGATATTAATTTCACAAAAATCGATGACGTCGCAGTTAGAGAATAAGCTTACCCCTTTATTTGTGGAAATAGTTCTATCAGATTTGGAAACTGTTCTTATTAGAGGAGGGTTGCCCAAAAGAAATATAAAAATATTTCATGTATTTCATATAGTTCAAGAACCGCTGGTCTGATTTTAACGATTCAGATAAATTCGGAATTGTCTCTTGGCAGAAAAGGATAAGATTTAAAAAATCTCGAAGAAATGTTAAATTTGAACATTTTTATTTTGACTTTTGAAATTGTAAATTGTAGTGTTTTATTTTACATGATATTTTTTCCATTTTGAAGTGGTATTTTCATATGTACATTTTGTAATGTTTTTTTTTTTTTGTGAATTCTAATACAACGGACAAAACTGTTATTTATAGCTTTTATGTATTTATTGGGTAAATGTTACTATACGAATATTATTTCAGAAGAGGATAAAGTATAAACAAAAAAAAAAAAATATATTTTATAGTGTACGAACGGTTTTTTTTTTCAATTTGATGAACTTTATGTAATCGACTCGATTTTTGAGAAATAAAATCGCAGGCGGGTTACATTGATATCATCAAATATGGTGTGGCGAAACTGAATAGATGATGTCGAAATAATTAAACGCGGTCACACTAATCTCAAAGAATAATTACTTTTTCAAAATCGCTAAAAAATCAAAAATCAAAGTTATACATTCTTTATTGTTTTGAAATTGTTTTGAATAATATCAAAAATGAAAAGAGTGCGAAATACGATGTAAATGGCGATCTTTCATGTCTAAAATTGACATCTAACTTTCCACTCCAGGGCCTACCATCGTGCTTCAGCTGGAAGATGCGAAGACATTTTAACAAACAAAAATGACCGACAAAGCGTTATGGGGCTCATTTCAAAACGAGTACCTACTTCTTTCGTATGACAATAATCTGTCCAATGAGAACTCAAATGCAAAATTCATTAAGACTGCAATCAGTGAAATACCAAATATAAAGGGTGCAAAATAGTAGAACGAATTGGCATCTTTGTTTCTAAGGTGGTAGAAAATCTTTTCGCATACAATTTTCAATTTTCGGAGTAGGGTCCATCTTGGTCTTGACCACATTCATCAATTGATATGACTTAAAAATTGTATTTAGGTTATGCTGGGGTGGGTGGCCATTACCTTTTATAAAAATTTTGACTTAAAGTCTGATCTGAGAATTATTGTGATTCAAAAAATATGCATTAAAGACTAAAAATACGAACCGGCATCGCGGACGGGACAGCTAGTATACATTATAACAACCAATGCAGTTACATCAAGAACTGTATTGAACTACATAAGGCGAACATATGGGCCCAGGTTATACAGCCACTAAAGGTAACGATCAGCAAACTCACTGCCGAAATATGTCAGAAGAATAAGGGACATAAATCTAGAATGAGCTATACTTTTAGATGTAGGTATTCTAGTCGTAGAACTGAAGGTTTGTGAAAAATGCCCACACTTAAAGTAAACTTAAAGTACTTATTGCAGTATAATTAGTTTAAAAATCAAATTGAACAAAATGCTAGTTTTTAATCTACCTTGTTTAGATTAAATGTTTATCAAAAATCGGTGCGGTAAAATGAAATACATATCCAATGTTGACAATTGTTATACCCTCAACCATATGGCTATAGAGGGTATATAATTTGATACGTCCAAAACTTGCGGTATCGGTTTTAGACCCCAGGTTTCTTTGGACCGAATCCCTTTCAGGGCATTTGGGGTCGATCTAGGGAAAACCGTCCGTCTGTCTGGCTGGGATCGTACGCACGATAACCCTTGAAAGGAGTATTCGATTTGGTCCAAACTTTGTACATCGAATTTTATTGTCAAACTTATATCGAGTTTGGAGATACCACCAACTTCACAGTTTGAGCCTTTTCGCCAGCCGCAGTTTTCAGCATAATGCAGAGAACGACTTCTTACTTGGGTTAGCACAAAGTACCATGGGCAAAGTGATAAAAAAACGTCACTATCGAAATACACAAGAAGTTGTGTCCCATAATGACACGCGCAAAAATCACTACATACTTTGTTTTCGATAGCATACTACCTATCGTGTACAACTTCGAGTAGAAACAATTCGATAACGACTGCGGCATATGTCAGAACACTCCTTCTGGTACCTCCTCCACAACGGTTTAAATTTCGCACATCCCAATATTTTCGTAACACAAGATCTGGTGTGAAAATGGAATACAACGGTTTTAAATTTTGAATAATTTTATCTCTCATAAAATGTGAAATAAGCAATCCAATACAATATATTGGACAACAACTTTTGGTACGTCCACCACAAAGGGGTCAAAATTTTGAGTAATTAGTCGTTAATCGCGGTTATACTAACCAGGCCTCTGACGCCACTTACTAAGGTAATTTTGTTGTTTAATAGAAAAAACAAATACACAAATAAAGATAAAACTTCTTAGAATTTAACTTAAGCAAGATCTGTTGTAAAGATAATATATATCGGACCACCCTCACTGTATTTATGCATATTAATTATTCTTAATTTATATTACAATTACTCTCAATGAAGAAAAATTGAATTGAATATATTCTGATTTGTATTCTTCTCATTCTAGGGCTTGATCAATTTATACAACAATTGAGGGATACATGCACACATAAAGTGAAGGCGAATTCCGTGAAACAGGAATATGAAAAACAAGATGAACTTAAGCGTTCTGCACTACGTGCAGTGTGGGCACTGTCTAAAATACCAAAAGCAGGTATTTTAAATAAAATTAATTACTATTGATTCAGAGGATCAATTTTAATTCATTCTTATCTCCTCCAATTCTTTTTAGAAAAAAACCAGCAACTAACTGATTTTCTTAAATCAATCAACGATTCCCCAGAACTCAGTAAAATATATGAATACGTTCAGAAGGACTCTCTTTCAAATAATTTGGATTTTACGATGGATGAAAGCTAAATTAAAGTTGTGTATTACTTTTTTAGTAATGTAAAGTTATTTTTGGGTTTAAATAAATTAATAATTCAAAATAAATAATTAACCCATTTACTGTATAATAATTTAATAGAAAAGTTTAATGAATATAAACATAGCAGCTAGAGGAACCAGTACCCATTTTATGCGAATAATTCTAATAAAACATTTTTTATTCACACATTGTTTAATTTTTTTATTTTTCTTCTCGTTTGTAACACCTGTTCTCACCTCAATATGCCTGACGGATTCTGGTAAGCAATTTAATACGCTAACTGGCGCCAAACAAGGGAGAACAATTAATAAGACTCTGAATGAATAAAATGAAAAATAACATTTAAAATGTTTGTAAAACATCAGCAGAACATCTATATAGCCTGGGAAGGAAGCGATCAAATCAGCCACTAAGTCAACCAGCCAGCTATTTGTGAAGTCTACAAATCGAACTTCCAGCACATGTAGTTACACAGCTAAACTATAATATATTTAGAGTAGTTGTAAGTAGAGTTATAAGTAATATTGTAATCAATTGCCTACTCTTAGTATCTGCTATTATTTTGTAAATGTGACTGAAGAATAAAATATTTTTTTTTTTAGGAAATTGATGATTATTCTTTTAAAAGAGACATTTTATTAAATTATGGTATTCAAAACATTTCAGTGGTCGTGAAATTTTACAATCTAAATGTCAGAGGAATATGTAGAATTGTCGATGGGAGAGCAAATAAGAACACTTGTAGATTCGGCTATCCAAGCAGCTTCAGCTGTCAATCAATTGAAACCAACCCTATTGCCTTACAAGACATTGATGACTTAAGAAAAAACAGTGTGAGTGTTTATATCAGATACAAAGACTGTTTTCAAATCTGTCCTCTACATAAGCTTTTGCCCAAGAAGTAGAATCTGATAGGGAGAGGTATTTTTCCCCGTCTTATCTCATCGGATCTCGCGAAGATAAATTAACCACAAACGAAGAAAACCCCTAATTTTACTAGAAGTCGTAGGTTTTAACAGAAAATCACGCTCACACAGACCAGTTCAACCCATGGGCTTGGATTATTCAATCCGTTTTAGACAATCGTAAACATTTTGGAATCAGTACGGTGATGTTCCGTCTCCAAATGGTCAAACATCGGAGAGATCAAATAGTAAGAACAAGATTTAAAACCCTTCTGGTTAATGAAGGAAGTTAATTTGACGTCGACGCGCTATAGTAGACTTTAGTAATAAAGAAATAAAAACTAAATCAAGAATCGAAACACTGACATTCATAAAATGTACAGATATTAATTTCACAAAAATCGATGACGTCGCAGTTAGAGAATAAGCTTACCCCTTTATTTGTGGAAATAGTTCTATCAGATTTGGAAACTGTTCTTATTAGAGGAGGGTTGCCCAAAAGAAATATAAAAATATTTCATGTATTTCATATAGTTCAAGAACCGCTGGTCTGATTTTAACGATTCAGATAAATTCGGAATTGTCTCTTGGCAGAAAAGGATAAGATTTAAAAAATCTCGAAGAAATGTTAAATTTGAACATTTTTATTTTGACTTTTGAAATTGTAAATTGTAGTGTTTTATTTTACATGATATTTTTTCCATTTTGAAGTGGTATTTTCATATGTACATTTTGTAATGTTTTTTTTTTTTTGTGAATTCTAATACAACGGACAAAACTGTTATTTATAGCTTTTATGTATTTATTGGGTAAATGTTACTATACGAATATTATTTCAGAAGAGGATAAAGTATAAACAAAAAAAAAAAAATATATTTTATAGTGTACGAACGGTTTTTTTTTTTCAATTTGATGAACTTTATGTAATCGACTCGATTTTTGAGAAATAAAATCGCAGGCGGGTTACATTGATATCATCAAATATGGTGTGGCGAAACTGAATAGATGATGTCGAAATAATTAAACGCGGTCACACTAATCTCAAAGAATAATTACTTTTTCAAAATCGCTAAAAAATCAAAAATCAAAGTTATACATTCTTTATTGTTTTGAAATTGTTTTGAATAATATCAAAAATGAAAAGAGTGCGAAATACGATGTAAATGGCGATCTTTCATGTCTAAAATTGACATCTAACTTTCCACTCCAGGGCCTACCATCGTGCTTCAGCTGGAAGATGCGAAGACATTTTAACAAACAAAAATGACCGACAAAGCGTTATGGGGCTCATTTCAAAACGAGTACCTACTTCTTTCGTATGACAATAATCTGTCCAATGAGAACTCAAATGCAAAATTCATTAAGACTGCAATCAGTGAAATACCAAATATAAAGGGTGCAAAATAGTAGAACGAATTGGCATCTTTGTTTCTAAGGTGGTAGAAAATCTTTTCGCATACAATTTTCAATTTTCGGAGTAGGGTCCATCTTGGTCTTGACCACATTCATCAATTGATATGACTTAAAAATTGTATTTAGGTTATGCTGGGGTGGGTGGCCATTACCTTTTATAAAAATTTTGACTTAAAGTCTGATCTGAGAATTATTGTGATTCAAAAAATATGCATTAAAGACTAAAAATACGAACCGGCATCGCGGACGGGACAGCTAGTATACATTATAACAACCAATGCAGTTACATCAAGAACTGTATTGAACTACATAAGGCGAACATATGGGCCCAGGTTATACAGCCACTAAAGGTAACGATCAGCAAACTCACTGCCGAAATATGTCAGAAGAATAAGGGACATAAATCTAGAATGAGCTATACTTTTAGATGTAGGTATTCTAGTCGTAGAACTGAAGGTTTGTGAAAAATGCCCACACTTAAAGTAAACTTAAAGTACTTATTGCAGTATAATTAGTTTAAAAATCAAATTGAACAAAATGCTAGTTTTTAATCTACCTTGTTTAGATTAAATGTTTATCAAAAATCGGTGCGGTAAAATGAAATACATATCCAATGTTGACAATTGTTATACCCTCAACCATATGGCTATAGAGGGTATATAATTTGATACGTCCAAAACTTGCGGTATCGGTTTTAGACCCCAGGTTTCTTTGGACCGAATCCCTTTCAGGGCATTTGGGGTCGATCTAGGGAAAACCGTCCGTCTGTCTGGCTGGGATCGTACGCACGATAACCCTTGAAAGGAGTATTCGATTTGGTCCAAACTTTGTACATCGAATTTTATTGTCAAACTTATATCGAGTTTGGAGATACCACCAACTTCACAGTTTGAGCCTTTTCGCCAGCCGCAGTTTTCAGCATAATGCAGAGAACGACTTCTTACTTGGGTTAGCACAAAGTACCATGGGCAAAGTGATAAAAAAACAAGAAGTTGTGTCCCATAATGACACGCGCAAAAATCACTACATACTTTGTTTTCGATAGCATACTACCTATCGTGTACAACTTCGAGTAGAAACAATTCGATAACGACTGCGGCATATGTCGGAACACTCCTTCTGGTACCTCCTCCACAACGGTTTAAATTTCGCACATCCCAATATTTTCGTAACACAAGATCTGGTGTGAAAATGGAATACAACGGTTTTAAATTTTGAATAATTTTATCTCTCATAAAATGTGAAATAAGCAATCCAATACAATATATTGACAACAACTTTTGGTACGTCCACCACAAAGGGGTCAAAATTTTGAGTAATTAGTCGTTAATCGCGGTTATACTAACCAGGCCTCTGACGCCACTTACTAAGGTAATTTTGTTGTTTAATAGAAAAAACAAATACACAAATAAAGATAAAACTTCTTAGAATTTAACTTAAGCAAGATCTGTTGTAAAGATAATATATATCGGACCACCCTCTCTGTATTTATGCATATTAATTATTCTTAATTTATATTACAATTACTCTCATTGAAGAAAAATTGAATTGAATATATTCTGATTTGTATTCTTCTCATTCTAGGGCTTGATCAATTTATACAACAATTGAGGGATACATGCACACATAAAGTGAAGGCGAATTCCGTGAAACAGGAATATGAAAAACAAGATGAACTTAAGCGTTCTGCACTACGTGCAGTGTGGGCACTGTCCAAAATACCAAAAGCAGGTATTTTAAATAAAATTAATTACTATTGATTCAGAGGATCAATTTTAATTCATTCTTATCTCCTCCAATTCTTTTTAGAAAAAAACCAGCAACTAACTGATTTTCTTAAATCAATCAACGATTCCCCAGAACTCAGTAAAATATATGAATACGTTCAGAAGGACTCTCTTTCAAATAATTTGGATTTTACGATGGATGAAAGCTAAATTAAAGTTGTGTATTACTTTTTTAGTAATGTAAAGTTATTTTTGGGTTTAAATAAATTAATAATTCAAAATAAATAATTAACCCATTTACTGTATAATAATTTAATAGAAAAGTTTAATGAATATAAACATAACAGCCAGAGGAACCAGTACCCATTTTATGCGAATAATTCTAATAAAACATTTTTTTATTCACACATTGTTTAATTTTTTTATTTTTCTTCTCGTTTGTAACACCTGTTCTCACCTCAATATGCCTGACGGATTCTGGTAAGCAATTTAATACGCTAACTGGCGCCAAACAAGGGAGAACAATTAATAAGACTCTGAATGAATAAAATGAAAAATAACATTTAAAATGTTTGTAAAACATCAGCAGAACATCTATATAGCCTGGGAAGGAAGCGATCAAATCAGCCACTAAGTCAACCAGCCAGCTATTTGTGAAGTCTACCAATCGAACTTCCAGCACATGTAGTTACACAGCTAAACTATAATATATTTAGAGTAGTTGTAAGTAGAGTTATAAGTAATATTGTAATCAATTGCCGACTCTTAGTATCTGCTATTATTTTGTAAATGTGACTGAAGAATAAAATATTTTTTTTTTTAGGAAATTGATGATTATTCTTTTAAAAGAGACATTTTATTAAATTATGGTATTCAAAACATTTCAGTGGTCGTGAAATTTTACAATCTAAATGTCAGAGGAATATGTAGAATTGTCGATGGGAGAGCAAATAAGAACACTTGTAGATTCGGCTATTCAAGCAGCTTCAGCTGTCAATCAATTGAAACCAACCCTATTGCCTTACAAGAAATTGATGACTTAAGAAAAAACAGTGTGAGTGTTTATATCAGATACAAAGACTGTTTTCAAATCTGTCCTCTACATAAGCTTTTGCCCAAGAAGTAGAATCTGATAGGGAGAGGTATTTTTCCCCGTCTTTTTTCATCGGATCTCGCGAAGGTAAATTAACCACAAACGAAGAAAACCCCTAATTTCACTAGAAGTCGAAGGTTTTAACAGAAAATCACGCTCACACAGACCAGTTCAACCCATGGGCTTGGACTATTCAATCCGTTTTAGACAATCGTAAACATTTTGGAATCAGTACGGTGATGTTCCGTCTCCAAATGGTCAAACATCGGAGAGATCAAATAGTAAGAACAAGATTTAAAACCCTTCTGGTTAATGAAGGAAATTAATTTGACGTCGACGCGCTATAGTAGACTTTAGTAATAAAGAAATAAAAACTAAATCAAGAATCGAAACACTGACATTCACAAAATGTACAGATATTAATTTCACAAAAATCGATGACGTCACAGTTAGAGAATAAGCTTACCCCTTTATTTGTGGAAATAGTTCTATCAGATTTGGAAACTGTTCTTATTAGAGGGAGGGTTGCCCAAAAGAATATTTTAAGACGAAACGAACAACTTTACTTTTTTATTTCGGCTGTTGTCTAAGTTCCCTTTTAACAACTGTAGGAGTTACCACAGATATGCAAAGCACATTCATACGATAGAAACAACTCAAAAAATTATTACTGGAAGACCTGGCCTGACCTGGGAATAACAATTTAAACAGCAGGACATCACGAATGCTATAAACAGACAGATACCAAAAAACACAAAGAATCAGAAATAGGTTAATTAACGAACGAAAACGGCACGGTTAACTTATATGATCACTTACTTGCCGGAAATAGAATAATAATGAATGACACGGAGATATTAATATTGTTATTCACATTGCAAAGTAGGAGCAAAGTGTATTTACTAAGGTATAATTGATAATCATATGGTTTTTAACTTTTTTTATTTTTGTCTGTAAAGTAAATTGTCAATTTCAATTTTAAAATTTAAATTTCATAATTTATTTGAAGCAGTTTATTATCCAAATGTATTAACATGCAAAAAGGTAAAACATCGTGTCCTTTAGTAATCAATTTTAGTGGAATTTATGATAAATTTCATTTTGAAATTTTTTCTATTGACTCGTGTACTTAACACAAGAATGGGACATTAAGAGTCTGTCTTATTTAGCTTCAATACTTTCATGGCAATAGCCATTGTGGGCTACCTAAGTGGTGGACACATAAATCGGGTTGTTACGATTGCTATGGCTTTGGTTGATCACATAAGTCCAATCCTTATAGTTATGTATATTGTGGTTCAATGTATCGATTCGGCAGCTGGTGCGTGTGTGCTTAAACTGCGGCAAGGCATACCACAATAGTGTGACCCAACTGTGTAGTCTCTTCAAAACACGCGAAAATACTTCGTCAATTTAAGGCCCTCTTCACGGCCTTGTTCTTTTTGGGATGTTTTGATATCTCGCAGGATAAGCACAGGTATAAGCACAACAAAAAAACATCGGCCAAGCTATCAACAAAAATCAGATACTTTTTAAAGAAAAGTTTTGTTATTATCTTCATATTTTCAGTTTCTATAAACATAATGTTGTTATTGTAAAATGTTAGTTGTAGTTCATGCATACACCTTGAATAGGAGTAATGAACCCTATACAGTAGCTGCAAGCGAAACTCGTGCACTTAGCAGACAATATGGTTCTAGAACTAGAACTAGTCTTAGAACAAAAGTTTACTGTTTTTATTTATGTAACAAAATAATGGCATTTATATACATTTATACGGCAATCCTGTTTCGAACTGCGTCAAACTTCGCGGGATTGTTGAAAAATATATTTGGGGAAGTCCTTAAAAGCTAATTAATTACAAATATCCACGTGTTGTGTAGTTTACTGACGTAAATATTAAACAAACCACTGCTGAAGTGAGAAATTTAGTAATTAAACATTACAAAAACCATCAATCGCTAAATGAGATATCTGAGATTTTTAATAGAAGCCGATATAAAGTTCAGTACATCATAAAACGGTACAAAACAGATGGATGTAGAAAATAAGTCAAAAAATGGCATATAATAAAATATTTACCATGAGTGATGAGAAGTATATTTTACGGCAGATCAAAGAGGATCCATTTTTCAATGCACAGAAGCTCGCAAAAATTGCTGAGAATTATTGTGATTCAAAAAATATGCATTAAAGACTAAAAATACGAACCGGCATCGCGGACGGGACAGCTAGTATACATTATAACAACCAATGCTGTTACATCAAGAACTGTATTGAACTGCATAAGGCGAACATATGGGCCCAGGTTATACAGGCACTAAATGTAACGATCAGCAAACTCACTGCCGAAATATGTCAGAAGAATAAGGGACATAAATCTAGAATGAGCTATACTTTTAGATGTAGGTATTCTAGTCGTAGAACTGAAGGTTTGTAAAAAATGCCCACACTTAAAGTAAACTTAAAGTACTTATTGCAGTATAATTAGTTTAAAAATTAAATTGAACCAAATGCTAGTTTTTAATCTATCTTGTTTAGATTAAATGTTTATCAAAAATCGTGGGGTGCGGTAATATGAAATACATATCCAATGTTGACAATTGTTATACCCTCAACCATATGGCTATAGAGGGTATATAATTTGATACGTCCAAAACTTGCGGTATCGGTTTTAGACCCCAGGTCTCTTTGGACCGAATCCGTCCGTCCGTCTGGCTGGGATGGTGCGCACGATAACTCTTGAAAGGAGTATTCGATTTGGTCCAAACTTTGTACATCGAATTTTATTGTCAAACTTATATCGAGTTTGGAGATACCACCAACTTCACAGTTTGATCCTTTTGGCCAGCCGCAGTTTTCAGCATAATGCAGAGAACGACTTCTTACTTGGGTTAGCACAAAGAACCATGGGCAAAGTGATAAAAAAACGTCACTATCGAAATACACAAGAAGTTGTGTCCCATAATGATACAATTTTTGTTTCATTTTGTTTACACTTTTTCCGCGCAAAAATCACTACATACTTTGTTTTCGATAGCATACTACCTATCGTGTACAACTTCGAGTAGAAACAATTCGATAATGACTGCGGCATATGTCGGAACACTCCTTCTGGTACCTCCTCCACAACGGTTTAAATTTCGCACATCCCAATATTTTCGTAACACAAGATCTGGTGTGAAAATGGAATATATCTCCTACTCCTACTGGTACCCTTCCACAACGGTTTTAAATTTTGAATAATTTTATCTCTCATAAAATGTGAAATAAGCAATCCAATACAATATATTGGACAACAACTTTTGGTACGTCCACCACAAAGGGGTCAAAATTTTGAGTAATTAGTCGTTAATCGCGGTTATACTAACCAGGCCTCTGACGCCACTTACTAAGGTAATTTTGTTGTTTAATAGAAAAAACAAATACACAAATAAAGATAAAACTTCTTAGAATTTAACTTAAGCAAGATCTGATGTAAAGATAATATATATCGGACCACCCTATCCCTATATTCCTATATTCTAATTTGTATTCTTCTCATTCTAAGACTTGATCAATTTATACAACAATTGAGGGATACATGCACACATAAAGTGAAGGCGAATTCCGTGAAAAAGGAATATGAAAAGCAAGATGAACTTAAGCGTTCTGCACTACGTGCAGTGTGGGCACTGTCCAAAATACCAAAAGCAGGAATTTTAAATAGAATTAATTACTATTGATTCAGAGGATCAATTTTAATTCATTCTTATCTCCTCCAATTCTTTCTTAAAAAAAAACCAGCAATTAACTGATTTTCTTAAATCAATCAACGATTCCCCAGAACTCAGTAAAATATATGAATACGTTCAGAAGGACTCTCTTTCAAATAATTTGGATTTTACGATGGATGAAAGCTAAATAAAAGTTGTGTATTACTTTTTTAGTAATGTAAAGTTATTTTTGGGTTTAAATAAATTAATAATTCAAAATAAATAATTAACCCATTTACTGTATAATAATTTAATAGAAAAGTTTAATGAATATAAACATAACAGCCAGAGGAACCAGTACCCATTTTATGCGAATAATTCTAATAAAACATTTTTTATTCACACATTGTTTAATTTTTTTATTTTTCTTCTCGTTTGTAACACCTGTTCTCACCTCAAAATGCCTGACGGATTCTGGTAAACAATTTAATACGCTAACTGGCGCCAAACAATGGAGAACAATTAATAAGACTCTGAATGAATAAAATGAAAAATAATATTTAAAATGTTTGTAAAACATCAGCAGAACTTCTATATAGCCTGGGAAGGAAGCGATCAAATCAGCCACTAAGTCAACCAGCCAGCTATTTGTGAAGTCTACCAATCGAACTTCCAGCACATGTAGTTACACAGCTTAACTATAATATATTTAGAGTAGTTGTAAGTAGAGTTATAAGTAATATTGTAATCAATTGCCTACTCTTAGTATCTGCTATAGTTTTGTAAATGTGACTGAAGAATAAAATATTTTTTTTTAGGAAATTGATGATTATTCTTTTAAAAGAGACATTTTATTAAATTATGGTATTCAAAACATTTCAGTGGTCGTGAAATTTTACAATCTAAATGTCAGAGGAATATGTAGAATTGTCGATGGGAGAGCAAATAAGAACACTTGTAGATTCGGCTATTCAAGCAGCTTCAGCTGTCAATCAATTGAAACCAACCCTATTGCCTTACAAGAAATTGATGACTTAAGAAAAAACAGTGTGAGTGTTTATATCAGATACAAAGACTGTTTTCAAATCTGTCCTCTACATAAGCTTTTGCCCAA